CATTGAAACCTGAATAGCCAACAATATAAGACAAAGATACAGAAAATGTAATGACATAATTTGAAACCAAGCAGGCCTACATAGTGATAGAACATTAATGCAAACAACAATGCTTGTGGTTTTGTCAATTGAATGATAAAATGTCCATAAAAAAGGGGTTAAATTACAAAATAAGACTGTAGATTATTTACATGTTTAATATGAAACCATAAACAGTTTTATGGCACTAGGCACTGGCCGCGGCAAATTGAATCTTCAAGCCAAAAGTACAAGTAAGAAGTGAAATTTAACAGCCATTTTAAAGCTATTAGTTTCACGATAAAATAGGTTTGGGATCTAATAATAATTACCCTAGTAATAAAAAAAGAAGTTGTAAAGGAATAAAAGTGATACAACTTTTATGAGCTAGCTGCTGAGTCAACAGTTCTTGGAAGAACTTGACTTGACACTTGATTGTCGTGATAAAATATTAATGGGTTTGAGATTGTTAATGGGATTTTTATTGCATAATTACTCTAGTAATAAATTATGAAAATGTAAACAAACATCTGATAAACCTTTTATGTGCTCCTAACCAACTAGCGTTCAATAAAATTATGGCCCATTAAAAATTTAAGGACATAGTCTGGCATTTAAGGACAATTCCCGTACATTTCATGGCCAGTAAAAATTTAAGTACAATTCCCGGTTTTCCCGGATTTCCCGGTTCGTAGACACCCTGTGTATTGTAACATCTATCGTTCCAAGGAGTGTGCCATCTGGTAGAGGTTGGGGTATACTGTTGAGTTTGTTGAGGAAGTAATTAGAATTTTTTATGTATGAGGCTAGGTTTTGGACCGGTGGTTGTAAAAAAGATTCAACGAAAGAGGATATCCTCTCTGTAGTGCAGCCGCAGCCTGAGACTATGGGTCTAACGGGTGAGGGGATCGTGCCTTTGTGGATTTTAGGTAGGATGTATATTTTTGGTGTGATAGGTTTTGTTGGAATTAATAAACTTGCAGTTTGAGGGGAAATGTTGTTGGATTTAGAATGGTGTGAAATTAAGTCTGAGAGTTGTTCTGTGAAGTAGTCTCCTTTGTTCATGATGACAGTAGTTGAGCCTTTGTCTGCTGGGAGGATCATGATCGATTGATTTGATTTCAGGGTTGAGATGGGCCTTTTCTTTCATCAGCTGATAGGTTGTGTTGGGTAGTGGAAGTCAGCTTATCCTAAAAAGATGGGTCTGACACATTTTTAACTAGGAAATTGATATACTGTTCTATTGGATGATCTGAAGGTAATTGCGGCGGTAAAGCCTGATGGTGGTTTAAATTTTGAGTAGGCCTATCAAAATTTAAACCAAAACAGACCTAAAGGTTCACTCCCTACAACTTCCTTCATCATGCAGCTGATTAAATTCATTTATAAAAAAGTTATTTTTTGTTTCAAAATAAGCACTACCTACAGATTAAGGGGACCGCCATGGGGACTAGAATGGCACCATCTTATGCTAACTTGTATATGGGAAAGTATGAAGAGGACTTTTTCAAACATCACAAAAAAATACCCCTCTGTTGGTTTGGATACATACTTGACATTTTTGTAATTTGGACCCATGGATCTACTACTTTTTGGATGATGATCTACTAACATTCCTTGAAAGCCTAAATCAGTTCGGACCTTTAATTTTCACATGGGATTTCTCTAACACATCTTTAAACTTCCTGGACCAAACAATAAACATCTCAACAACCAACTCCTTCAATCTACATAAAACCAACCAACCATCAACAATGGAATTCAACTTTGGAATGATATCAAGGAAGAGGATACACAAAATTTCTGCTGACGAATTGTTTAACACAAGAAGCCTTGGAGAAAGAGTTTGGCATTGCAAGGCAAAGGTGTGGTTATGAAAAAAAACCCATTTTCCATGCAATTCCATCAAAATCTGCATCACAGAATTCAAGTTACACTTATGAAACCTCCGGAGTCCGCTAACTTTTGATAAATTTGTTTGTTTGGCCGTAGTTTCCTTCTTCCTTGTTTTATAATGCATTTCAATACCAAATTATTTATAGTAAGTAATTATTTACTGTAATAGGAAAATTGATTATAATTGAATTTACGAGATTTGTTTGTATTTTTCTTTTTGTCATTATTCTATTATGCCCTTAAAGTCTTTATAGTAAAATCCTTTATAGCAAAATGTAGTTTTCAGTTCATAATTTCGTTATTGAGCCTTTATTTTTTTGATTGATAATGCATTTATTTGTTGGTATATTTGATTAGCAAGTTTATTATATCAAGCCAATTTTACAAAGATTTTAAAAATTAAGTCGTCTGCTAATACTCTGGTACTTGTACTCTTGTAGTGTCAACCTGTTCATACGAAGTTAATGGTATAAAGATTTAAAAAAATTAAACTGTCTGTTGATACCCTTTTACTTGTACTCTTGTAGTGTAAAGCCGAATCATAATTATGCATATTTTTGACACGTTCTTCCCTCGTAGAATAAAGTGAAAGTGGTGCGTGTTATGTCACCGAGAAGGAATATGAAGCATATCCTGGTTTGGGAATCAGGGGTGTATGACTGGGCATTTAACTGATGGTCCAGACATAAAATAAGTCAAGGCACTTAAAGTCAATAACATTTAAATAATTTTATAACACTTACCATATTAAAATTATACTGAATATTTTAAGTTAAAACTTAAAATAACAAAGAAATGTAGGAATTCTGTTATAGAATTTTGTTAAATTATCAGTGGATCTGCATTATTGTACGTGCTCTTAGTTTTAGTTTAAAGTTTATTATTATGAAGAGAATATGCAAACCCACAACAATAATAAAACAAACTTAGTTATAATATCACTTAAATAAACTATCGTTTAAACGATAACAAATGTTTTGCTATAAAGTCGATCAGTATTGTTCGTTAAAATAAAGGCAAAGGGTTTTTTACAAACCTTTGCAATTTGATGTGAGTTTAAAATCATATAACTTCATTATGATGAATGAATCACATACAGAAAAATACTAAAATGCACTTGGATTCCTGTATATCCAACAATTAATTGTGTGATTACAATATTAACAAATAACTTTTTTATTGCGTAATGTACTGATAAAATTAGATTACATGTCTTAGAGGCAGCTGTTACTGATTTGTTGTCCATTCATATTCATTGCATTCACTTTGTAGAGACAGCTTAACCTGTGAGGGAGAGGCCGGTTGCTGGGGAAAGTGACGATGAGTAGGGGGGGGGGAGGGAGACTGACGTGAAGGGGCGGTGCTGGCTACCTTAGCAAAGCATGTCTCAACGCAGACTGAGCTCAGCGGCGTACTGCATTACCATATGACTACCGCAACCCAAGCGTCAGTGGTCCGAACTACGTCGCCAAAATCGGTAACAACCAATAGCATTATGTGACAACTCTTATACGTGTATACTCAATGATATAAAGCTCTTGATGTTGATGATTCTTGATTCTACTATAATTAATTTTTAAAATCCAACTAATTTAATTTAAAGCCCAAAAAGATCCATGACATGTTCATCTAACCAGGGTGTCTAGTTTATTTCCATTTTAAAATTCAAGACTAATTCCAGACTTTTCAAGACTAATTTCAGATTTTTCAAGACCAGTTTTTTCAACAATTAGTGGGTGTTGATACCAAAATGTATCGATTCTCGATTCTTGATACCGAAACCAATTTTTATAGCTTAACCAAATTTTCTAAATAATACTACACCAACCCCTGTCTATGGCATAAAGTAGTATTATGGTAATGTGGTGTTTTCAAGTAAAGAAATAATGCAGCAATAAAAAATTCTAACTAGCAAATTTGTTTTTTTTTTGTCACGAAATCTTCCGTGTACCGTACGTTTAGACATCATCATTGACTGCAGCGGTTACAGAAACGTAATCGTCGCAGTCCGCGATCACGGCAAAATCATGAACATTTCCCGCGGCCTTGTAGTCATCAATGACATCATTGTCGTCTCCCGCGGTCTCAGAAACGTCATCGTCATCGTCCCCGATCGCGTCAAAATCATGAACATTTCCTGCGGCCTAGACATCAATGACATCATTGTCGTCTCCCGCGGTCTCAGAAACGTCATCGTCATCGTCCAAGATCGCGTCAAAATCATGAACATTTCCTGCGGCTGTTTAGACATCACCGTCATCTCCCGCGGTCACGGAAACGTTATCGTCGACGTCCGCAATCACGGCAAAATCATTAGCATTTCCCGCGGCCGTGTAGACATCATCGTCGTCTTCCGGGGTCACGGAAACATCATCGTCATCTCCCGAGGTCGCGGAAACGTCATCGTCGTCGTCCGCGATCGCGACAAAATCATGAACATTTCCCACGGCCGAGCAGATATCATCGTCGTCTCCCGCGGTCACGGAAACGTCATCGTCATCTCCCGCGGTCACGGAAACGTCATCGTCGTCTCCCGCGGTCACGGTAACGTCATCGTCGTCTCCCGCTGTCACAGAAACGTCATCGTCGTCTCCCGCTGTCACAGAAACGTCATCGTCGTCTCCCGCTGTCACAGAAACGTCATCGTCTCGTGGTTTCGGAAACGTCATCGTCGTCATCCACTATCGCGGCAAAATCGTGAACATTTCCCGAGGCCGTGTGGACATCATCATCATTGGCTTTCGCGGTTACGTAAACGCAAGACGACGATCGCGGCAAAATCATGAAAATTCCCGACTTTGAAATCAAATTTAAGACTAAATCCCGACTTTTCAAGACCGTTTTGAAATTCAATACTAATTCCCGACTACTAGACACCCTGTCTAACATACAGGTATTTATTACAGTTCCTTTTTAGGGGCAAAGTTTACTTGGAGATTATATTTTAAGTGCTACACTAGATTGTAAAATACTTTTTTTCTATAAAAAATTTGAACACCCCAAGAACAGAAACATCTTAGTAAAGTACAATATACAAAAAATGATCGGCAATTGTTGTAATGAACAGCGCATATAAGCTTACCTACCAAGAGCAACCTAACATCACAGAGGTGTACTTTGCGTAACAGAGAGAGAGCCGCGATGGCACAAAATGCATAACCACCGTGCGCTTCCATACCTGGCACTCCAGAAAAACCACCTTCATACGTTTGACAACTGGAACAAGTAAACTAATGTTCATAATCAAATCATAGTTTACTTTATCATTTAGAATAAGTCTAAGTGTAAATTTGGAAAAATATTTAGTAGTGCAAGATATAATTTTCAAATATCTGCTTATTATTTGTAACTAGTGAAGAGGATAAATTTAAGGAAATATCTACAAGCATATTACAAACTGTTATATCGATTAAATCAAAATCAACTTAACTGAACTCAGGTTTTAGAGAAGAGAGCACTTGGCTTATGAATACATTAAGGAAGAAGGAATGGATACACAATTAACTTACATAAGAAAAGAATTCCAGGTACAATAGACTCCCTTCTATCCGGACTCCTCGGGACCGAGACCAGTCCGGATAACGGATTTTCTAGTTAAACCGACATCCCCAAAGACTCGTTACTGTATGCGTTGACTTCAATTTAGGAGAGCATTGTATTTTATACACCTGATCACTGGTCTCAAATCATTCCACGAGAACAGTTGTTTGAGTACCGTCCACTTCCTGCCGATCTAGTCCGGTTAAACCGATGTGCTGATAAGAATTGTCCGGTTAAAGAGATTTCATTTCCTCCGAGTGTAGTCTGGTTAAACCGATGTCCGGTTAAAAGTAGGGATGGACGGGTCCCGAAATTTCGGGAATTTTTCGGGGAAAAAATATTCCCGATTATCGGGACGGGATTACATTTGATTCGGGAATTTTTCGGGACGGGATTTGGTCCGATCGCCGGCGATTTTGCCGCTTCGCGAGTGCCAATGACGCCGCTATTGCGAGCGATAGGTCCACGAACGCAGGAGACGAAGTCGTTTCGACGATTGCGCCGTGACCACGGAGTCATAACGACGATCCCACCGTGACCGCAATTACTGGACCGACGATCGCGCCGTGACCGCGGAGTCATAACGACGATCACGCTGGACCGCAATTATTGGACCGACGATCGTGCCGTGACCGCAAAGTCATACCGACGATCACCCCGTGACCGCGGAGTCATACCGACAATCACCCCGTGACCGCGGAGTCATTCCTACGATCACCCCGTGACCGCGGAGTCATACCGACGATCACGACGTGACCGCGGAGTCATACCGACGATCACCCCGTGACCGTGGAGTCATACCTACGATCACCCCGTGACCGTAGAGTCATACCTACGATCACCCCGTGACCGCGGAGTTATACCGACGATCACCCCGTGACCGTGGAGACATACCTACGATCACCCCGTAACCGCGGAGTCATACCTACGATCACCCCGTGACCGCGGAGTCATACCGACGATCGCGCCGTGACCGTGAGTCATACCGACGATCACCCCGTGACCGTGAGTCATACCGACGATCACCCCGTGACCGCCGTCATTTTGACGATAGCACCGTGACCGCGAGTCATTTCGACCGCGAGTCACAAGTTTCTACAGGTACCTGTAAATTGTTACCCATTTTTCGGTTTTTAAAGATCAGTGCCACAAACGGTAAAGATTGATTTTGTATGCCTTTTTTGGTAACTGCAATACTCAAGACTTTCTTTTTGTGCACAGAAAAAAATCCCGTCCCGTCCCGTCCCGAAAAATCGGGAAGGAAATAAAAATCTCGTCCCGTCCCGTCCCGAACTAAAAATTCAATCCCGTCCATCCCTAGTTAAAAGGTGTCAGGATAAGAGGGAGTTTACTGTAGTTGAAAGCACAAAGAAAGTTCTCAACATAATAAACTTGATATTTCACCCTTACAAGGGGCTTCTTAAGAAGAAATAAGTAGAAGTGGTCTCAGCTACCTGGAAATTTTTTCTTTGGTAAGTTAGTCGTGTAAAAATTCCTTCTTCTTCATGTTTCAAAAATTTCAAAAACTGTCATTAGTGTCATCAAAAGTTACATCTACCACAATCACATTAATGGCATCCACTCTTAGTTAACAACTTGACAGTAGTTTCAAATTAAACATTCAGGCTACTTCAGTAACTTAGATACACAGTTTTACCATGCACCCTGCAAGATTTAAAACATACACTAGGCTAATATATTTGTCAACTGTCACTTGTGTGTTGATTTGTAATTTAAGGATTAAGGAAAAAGAAAATTTCCTTGCAATAGGCCTATAATGATAATATGTTTATTTGTGCATATGTACAGTAGAACCCCTCATATCCGACCTCAGCATAACCGGCTTCTGACCTAGTGCCCGACTGTCTACTTGTTTCCTGCCTAGGGCGATGGGTGCACTGCTGCGACTGGGCACAAGCCAAAAAGGGTCCACTGATCCTTGGCAGGGCACATGGTCCATGCTAAGTAGACGGCGGTCAATTCCCAGAACACCCCGAGCAACTACTGAACAGTTACCATCAATGAAGAAAAGATCCTAAGAAGAAATTTATTCTTTTTCCTTCTCTAATTTGTGAAATTTCTATGATTCCGATTTTAAACGTTACACAAAGAGTATTCATCCGATTTTTAGCGAATTTCCCTATAGGGAAGTAGCAACCCTATAGTACCCCCGCCGCAGCAAACCTGCCGACTAAGCGAATTTCTAGTTGCCTGAATTGATTTTCAATTAAATGTATTTAATTAACATTAGATTTAATGAGTACATAGGCTTGCTGCTGCAGGGAAGGTAAAAAAGTGTGTTTTTTTAGTAAAATATTAATAACATACTATAAAATAAATAAATTTACCAAGTTTGATCAAAATATATCTATAAACAAGCAAACTACAACATTTTGCAATATTCTCCATAAGAATAACATGGGAATTTAAAAATAACATTTTTTTGAATTTTCTCCGTAGCCAATAACCGTACAAAAACACTTTGATATACTAAATTATTTGTTTTTTAAGCTCTTTAAAAAGGGTGGAGAGAAATTGGGGAATTTTGTGTTTAGAGGGTGAAAAACTAGAAAAACCAATTTTTACCCCATAAAATCCCGTTCCCATGGTCCGATCATGCTGGTTTGCGAACTCATTCAAGTTTATCCTGCCTTACACCTTCAAATCAAATTTCATCAAAATCGGACAAAAATTACTCAAGTTATCGTTTTTACGGACACATATCTATACTTATAAAAGGCAAAGCCCTCACTGACTCACTGACTCACTGACACACTCACTCACTCATCACTAATTCTCCCACTTCCCATTTACCTAGGAGGCTGAAATTTGGTACATTGATTCTTTAGGCATTAAATAGGAAAACTAAGTTGTTTTTATTCTGATCGGACTCTCGGGCTCCGCCCCAGTGGCTCTGGGGTTTCCCATGTTAGCCTTATGATTTTTCATATTTAAAAGGAATTAATGAATATTAACAGCTGTTTCAATTAAACAAGTTGGTTCTGTTCTATGATGTTCAATTGCATTAAAGTTACAATGATTACCAACAGGGTGCAGCACTATTATTTATTTTAATTTATGACAACAGCTAATTTGCAACCAAAAGATGAGTGAGCGTAGCGAACGAACTTCAACCTGGAGACGAGTTAGCGTAGCGAACGAGCTAACCTGAAGGCAAGTGAGCGCAGCGAACGAGCTCCAACCTAAAGGTGAGTGAGCGTAGCGAACGAACTTCAACCAGGACGTGATTGAGCCATGCGAACGAGATCATCTTGAAAATTAAGAAGTTAAACGGGGCAAAGCCCGCGGGTACAGCTAGTATAGGTATAGGGTGTTCATTTGAAAACTTTCCATATCTGTTGTGTGCAAAGGTAAGGCTTTTAACACTTGTTTGTTCTCATTTCCCCCTAATTTGGACATGCCAAATTCAATAAAATTATTTTCAATTTTGAAAAATGCCCCAAAAGGGCCCAATTTGGGGGGTAGGGGTGCTTTTTGAGAAGTTTTCAAATGTAAACATGGGTTGTGTGATACATCAATTTAAAGGTCTAATCACCCCGATCATTTTGGTGCAAAAAAAGTTTAATTATCTTTAACCGTATTTACAGGGTGGGTCAAAACGTTTTAAAAAAGGACTTTGAAGTTAAGTACCGTATTACCCTAACTACTGAACGGAACAGCGCCAAATTTCTTTCCAAGCTTATTCTTGAGCTACTCTTTAAGATAACTTGTAGTAAGGGCATTTTCCAAGTTATTTTCTAATGTTTAAAAAATCTCAAATTTTAAGAATAAAAGAAAGCTGAAAACTCAAAGTTCTTAAATAGCAAGGTATAACAAATTTCATACCACGTGAAAGGTCCTTTTTTAACAAACATTTTACGTATTTAAGTTTTCTTTCTATCTCTTACCGTTTAAAAATTGCAGTGGAAAAACATAATTTTCCATGGTAAAATTATAACTAGTTTTCTAATAAAACACATTGCACTTTGTTCAACGATGTAGTAGGATTCATAACAAATTGATCGACTACTTTTACGTGTGTCAGAATTCATCTTGGACCCTTCATCCTGTTCTTTTCTCATTGGTAACTGAGCCAGTTTCAGAAAACTTCCTAACTAAATCATTTACAGCCATATGACTCAAGGTTATACCTGGATATCTATTGTTAAACACTTTGCAGTTATCCTGGAACACTTTTGTTATGACCAATAAGTAAAATAAAGTATATTTTTTAAGTTTACACCATATTTGATTAGGTACTACAGGAAATGGTACTTTTGAAATTAGTACTACCAACTACAGAAAGCGGCCCACGCTTGGGTTTTTCTCATCAGCTATAAAACTTGTTTCTCACAAAGTAAAACGTAATGACTTGTTTGCCTATCTGCCTAAAAATAATTATGAATTGTTTCCTTCAGTTATTGCACCATTTAATGTGTCTAGAGACGAATTTTGGCTGTTTTATTAGAAAACTAGTTACAATTTTACCACAGAAAATTATGTTTTTCTATTGCAATTTTTAAACGGTAAGAGATAGAAAGAAAACTTAAATACGTAAAATGTTTGTTAAAAAAGGACCTTTCACGTGGTATGAAATTTGTTATACCTTGCTATTTAAGAATTTTGAGTTTTCAGCTTTCTTTTATTCTTAAAATTTGAGATTTTTTAAAAATTAGAAAATAACTTGGAAAATGCCCTTACTACAAGTTATCTTAAAGAGTAGCTCAAGAATAAGCTTGGAAAGAAATTTGGCGCTGTTCCGTTCAGTAGTTAGGGTAATACGGTACTTAACTTCAAAGTCCTTTTTTAAAACGTTTTGACCCACCCTGTAAATACGGTTAAAGATAATTAAACTTTTTTTGCACCAAAATGATTGGGGTGATTAGACCTTTAAATTGATGTATCACACAACCCATGTTTACATTTGAAAATTTCTCAAAAAGCACCCCTACCCTCCAAATTGGGCCCTTTTGGGGCATTTTTCAAAATTGAAAATAATTTTATTGGATTTGGCATGTCCAAATTAGGGGGAAATGAGAACAAACAAGTGTTAAAAGCCTTACCTTTGCACACAACAGATATGGAAAGTTTTCAAATGAACACCCTGTATATAAATAAAAATTTTAACGAATGGCGTTTTTGGCCTCTGGGGACATCAAAATGAAAAAGTAAATCGGTCCCAGGCCTAGGTCTTACCATGCCACCTTTTTTTTACTTCTTTCCTGTATCTTGGGAGACGATTGCCAATGTCACTGAGGCTACAAGATATGCTCACGGCTGTTGTTCCGGTCCCGGCGACCATTACTGGTGTTGCCATGAGTGGTATCCTAATGGTTGATGCCGGGATTGCGGGAGAAGATGTTACTACCAAGACCGCAAGTTATGTTTCTCCCAATATCCGACCTTTTGGCAGTTGTGACCATGGCTGTGGTGGAATATAAGGGTTCTACTGTATACTGTACAGGCCTAAGTGTTTTGAATTATTGAACAGCATTCATTCCATCTACAATCATTCAACAATTTGTAATTCTAGAGCTAATGATAAATGTTTTACGTTTCACTTACATTATTCAATCAAATGTGTGAATAGTTACATACAAACCACATAAAAGTAATTTGCTAAACTTACAGGATGATCCATTCAGCAGAGTTTGTAAATAGGTCTTCAGAATAAATGTTAGTCAGCAGGGAAACAGACAAGGCGCAGTATACACCCCTACACAACAAATAAATTGTTAAACTTGACTGATGAATAGTTTGATGTTTGTGTATGATGGTGTCTACAATAGTTATGAAACCTTTTCATAGTTACAAGACCAGGGTTTAAACCCTTCCCTTATAATTATAAACAATGCAAATAGGCCAGAAGTATCAAACACACAATAGATAGATACACAATATAGATTAAACATAAGTTTTTATAGAGACTTATCACCTTTAGGCTGATGGATCAGCTTAAGAACATTTGGTTACTTTTGTATGATTAATGTTAAGGATGTTTTATTGTTTGTTTACAATTCATGTCTTGTTATTAAACCAACTTTTCAAGTGTCTTAACTGAATATAACTACAGTATGTAAACATGACAAAATTGACTATTTGATACTTGCTTTAACAATCTTTTCTTAGGAACTTATTTTCATCTTGTTTCCGTCAATTTCCTTGGATTATTAATTTCTGAAAAGACTTTGAAGGAACTACTATATTTTTATTTTAAAAGGTTGGCAGTCTCTTTTAACCTTGCATTGCCTCTCCACTTAAACCCAATGCCTGTGTGTGGTATGTACCAAACAAATCAAAAGTGAGCTTGGACAGAGCAAGAATCAACTCAACTAATAAATGATAGTGGCGGCACCACTTCACAAACCCGCAACATTTGTAGTTTGTAGAATTTGTAAAATGTTGTAGAATTTGTAGTTTCATGAAATAGGCCTATTGACTTATTACCAATTTAGATAGGGGATGCCACCTAGGTGTGTATTTTAACTCAAATATGAGTGTAAAAACTGAGATGGTTTTTGAAGCCTTAGTTATTGCTGAATAAGACCAGCTGTTTCAATAGCCAGGACCATTTATTAAAGACAGCTGGGTCCAGTTTCAAACCATCAAAAAGCTACTGATTTTTCTCAGGATCCAACTGGTTACTGATCACCAAGCTCGTATTATTATGATTGTTTTACTTTTTCCTCTTTTCCCAAGACACGTTTTATTAAAGATTTGTTCCTCTGATGGAAATCTCTGACAAAGATAAGATTTCTAGTTTTCCTACCAAATGTTTACAGTATATTTAAATGAAAAATATATAAAGAAACAAGACAATGATTGTTAAAAGTACCTGACATCAACTTCACCTCCCACATGCATACAAAAAGCACCATTGGGTTGCCTGACGGTCCTCAGGTACTGTTTCAGTTTTTCCCTGAAATCAGTAATACTGTATTGTGAGTAGGGGCACAAGCAATAATTTAAGTTTGTGTGTAGAACTAGAAGCCTAGGTAAAACTAGGACTTGGGGCCGGATACGACATAGGAGCACGCGCCACAACTATAATTCAAACCATTGGATACTTATCACGGAGTGGTTCCGTGATGATGCAATACTATGTTTTTGTTGTTCAAAGGTTTATTGCGGACATTTTCCATCACAATGGTAAAAAACAATACACAACGTTTCGGAATCTGGAATCTGATCCCGTCCTCAGGTGAAAAAAAAAACAAAACTTGACTAACACATTACAACTAACAATACACAAACGCCTAACCTAAGTTGGAATACACTACAGAGGGTAGCAGTCAAAAAATATGCACTGTATAGCAGTCAAGTCATGATACAACATGCAAATAATAACCAATCACAAAACACTATAGTCTATAAAAGGTGTAGTGTGAACAGCTCACACAATGGAACACTAATAGCACCGTTCGCCAGTGTTGGGAAGTAGCGCACTACAAGTAGCGACGCTACAGTAGCGCGCTACTTTTTTTGTAGCTTTAGCTGTAGCTACGCTACTTTTAAGATTTTGTAGCTTTAGCTGTAGCTAGCTACATTTTTAAAGTAGTTGTAGCGGAATTTTAGCTACTTTTCTCGCTACATTAACATTGTTTGAGATAGTTATCATAACCTCAACCTTACGTGAAACAACCTCTTTCAAACTAAGATTTTCAAAAAAATTACGCCTACTTCCTTGGCTTCATACAGCTGGTTGCAGCCGTTTCATTCCCTATAACAACGTTGTGTGGACATGGAGGCCATTATTTGGAGGCGTTATCCACATTTTTGCTCTCATTTCCTTAATTTACTACTCTTTGATTACTGTCGGATCAAATAAAATCACTAGATGCAGAGGACATTTAAACGTTACCGGTGACAAGAGAAGCTATTGAATGCTTGCAAGTGATTGACAGGGAAATTAGTAATCCAATTTAGTTTCTTTGTTATATCGATAGTGTTTCAACTTGGGTTTTAATGGAAACCAAAACTTAACCTTAAAATAATGAGAAAGCTGGTCTATCAACCTTTGCTTCAGCTGTTGATTGTGGTTCATCATCACAAGCCCTTCCTTGGTTAGATTACGAAGATTTTTCAAAGGTTTACTAAATTAACAAAGAGGAAATTACCTGATGAGATTTAAGATATGCACTACATGATACATGAGACTACATGATAATTGTAACAAAAAAAATCTACATATAACATGAAACTTACATTGAAAAAAATAGCATAGTTTGCTCCTGCTAACAGCTCTTGTATAGGACTATTCCTAGGCTATGCTATGGTTTAAGACGAATACCAAGTTCCAAGTTCAATTATTAGGAATATATCTGTTTAGTCCTTGCAAGAACAAGCCTACTATAGCCAACTTGTTACATAGCCAAGTAGCCCTACATGTTATTTTTACTTTACAAATTTCAACATGTTTAAATTAAAAGCCAATTTCAGGATAAGTTGCTGAATACTGTTTTCTGTACCAACTAGGTTGAAGCACAATTTGCCCTATGCATAATGACAATAAAGGATGATTTCTTGACATTGAAAAGTGTTATTCATAGAACAAGTAACTTATAACTATGGTTAAAAGTTATAGCAATGTTGTTTTTAACATTAAAAGTAAAGAAAGGCAATAAACTCCAATTTCAGTAGGCTAGGCTCTGTAACACAAAAAAGTATTTTTAAATAATCGTTTTACAGTTTTATTGGTCTTAATTGTTGATATAAGACATCTATAAATGAATCTATATCAAAGAAATAAAATGAGCTTTTAAAATATAGTTTGGTTGTATGTTCTTTGAACTTAATGAAATTTACGTATAAGATGCTTCAAAATAATGCAATATTTAAAAATAAGAACTAAATATGATGGGACACCCAACTATTTGGTTCTGTTGTTGTACTTAATGTTAGGTTTATAATGCCAACAAATTAAATACAATCTAGGAATAATTTGTTTTCCAAGTAATGTTAGATACAATACTGACATTTTTTGTTTAAATGTTTGTTCAATAAAAATGTAGTTGCAATTAATTTTTCATTCCCCTAATGTGCGTGGAATAAAAAGTAAAGTCTTTGGGAAAGTAGCTAAAATTACATTTCATTGTAGCTGTAGTTGTAGCTAGCTACTTTTTCGGAAATGTAGCTGTAGCTGTAGCTAAGCTACTTTTAAAATGTAGCTAGCTACAACTACTGCTACATTTCCAAAAAAGTAGCTTCCCCAACACTGCCGTACACAATGACTCCACCAATGAGACTGAAGCAACATGGCCAACCAATCGGAAACACGGAGACAACAGAAATGGTGTCCGGTCCCTGGAAAAGTAAAACCAACAAAATGGCGGAGTGATGTACGATGCCCCAAAAAGGGTGTTAATTCTGTTTATTTCTATCACGAGTTTTACTACGAATTAACATAACGTGAGAATTTTGAGGAGAACTTGTTGTTTCCCTATTTATTGAACAATTTAGTTCCCTATCCTTTAGTTCCTTGTTCAAAATGGAACAAGGCCGTTCCGGATCCCGAAACGTTGTGTATTGTTTTTTACCATCGTGATGGAAAATGCCTGCAATAAACTTTTGAACAACATTAACTCACCATTACCAACAATGAATTTCAAACAAAGGACTATGTTTTTGTTATTACAGTACTACAGTACTATTATGAACATGTTTGAAATTCTTCCTCAATCTAAGGTAAAGCTATATTAGTACAAAAAACATATATAAATCCAGGAATAACATATAAAATAATTTATAATACTATATCAAATTCTGCTCTTATTCGGTGATTTGGCAAATGAGTTTGGCGTTTTATACCTTATAGCCTATCGGTTATTCGTGATATTTTTATTTACAGGACCTTAGATTTTACCTTCTAAAGGCTTTGATTTTCATTCATTTGCTATTTGACAACTAGTACAGTTGTAGTTTGTGTGGTTATAACCCGTTAGAAAGTATATTAGGTCAAATTTAATCTTGCAACCTTTTAGGAATAGAATTAGACTAAACTCTAGAGATAATACAATAAATACAAACAAATACAATAAAGAATTATAAGAATAATCGCTCAAGTTAGTCCAAGAACTTCTTGTATAAATTTGTTTGAAAGAATTAAGATTTTACCTGTGCCCTCTTTGTATTTATTCAACACTTAAGTAATTGCTATTTTTGAAGAAAAAAGAACTAACTCCCAATACAGCTTTAAGCTATGAGTTGCAACACCCCATACATACACCTGCTGCTTATGAAAAGAGTACTTTTTATATGGGTCTCAAACTATAGGCTATAATAAGAAAGCAGGCTAACCTTTAAATAAGTAAAGAGAGGCACAAATATACAATACAAAAGTAGAAATGTTTGCCGTCACTGACTGTCACAGTCAGTATCACAGTCAGTAGTGGTGTATCTAGTCTGACTGCACCCCAAATGCAAGTATTCCCCATGCGCCCCTATTTGTAGACTCATCCCCTCCCCCCCCCACCATAACCTCCAACAAAACTAACAACGTTTCACCGTACAGTACTTCCACACTTCTTGGATACTATTTCACTACACAATTTGAGAAAGATTATTCGAGGAAATATAATTTATTATGTAGCCTACAGTAATTTGAAAGTTAATTATTCAAAAAAATTATATTATATTATAGAATTATTTCCCGGAGTTTTGCACTTAGACACCCTTTGGTTTCAATATGAAGATTTTAGCGACTGACCTATCAATAACATTATAAGCCTCAGGTGTGCCCAGAGAGCACAGAGTGTTTACAGCAGCGTATGTTGGGGCAAGATGAGACATCTGTCCCGGCCCACCTCCAAAACCACCATCCTCATTCTGACATCTGGAAAACAACAATATAAGTTACACTCAATAAAATACCAGTGAAGACATTTAATAATTGGATGGTTGGTATAAATGTTCCTTGTCTCTATTTATTATGAGGATGACTGAGATAATCTTACTATTATTAACTACTGGTCGGATTGGGCTGAAATTTGGTATGGTGATAGCTCATATTCCCGATAAACATATAGTCATATTCTTATCTCAAAAAATCTCTCTTATATTCTTATCCTCAAAAAGGAAAGTCATTGTCTCTATGTTTGTCATGGCTTGTAGAATAGTGCTCTGCATGTAGCAAAGGAACATAGCAAGAGGGACCAGGATCTTCACAGCAACCAGGACCCTGATTGGTAAGTCCGTTTGAAGCTGTTCACTTGTATTGTATGTAATCATTGCACTCAACACAATCTGCCGATTCGTCTTTGGAGATTTTTATCGGAGGGATCAGAGATTATGATTAGGGTCAGCAATATCACTTTGTCAGAATCATCGTCTTCACTGTTACTCGGTATACTTAACAGATTGCTACTGCTTGGAGCATCAGAAGCTAACTTATCATTAACGAACTGTTCTAAAAACTGTGTGTTGTTAACTTTTATCAACATGGGCTTACTTTTTTTTGCCCGAGGAGCATTAAATGTTTCTTCATCACTGCTTGAGTTCATTGTAAATACACACTACCATGTAAAAACACAGATGAAACTACCTAATAAAAATAAAATAAATAAAATTAAAAAAATAAAAATAAATAAAAATTTATAAAAAAAATAAAAATAAATAAAAATTATAAATTTATAAATAAAAATTTTTTATAATAATATTTTATTATAAATAAAAATAAAATAATAAAAAAGAACGTGAATATAATCAACACCTCGTTTTAGGCTAACCTGACATTCCACCGTTCACACTTACTCGCAGTGACAAGTGCGCGCATATGAAGGAATGCTTCCAAGCGGCAGGAATTCGAAGTACACTAGTAACTGGTTACTCGTGCCACCCTCAAAAAAGGAACTTTTTATTTAACAACATAACCAAAACAACCACAGTGCGGCACAAGTTACCGGTTACTTGTCATCAGCTACACAAAAAAAAAAATCTCCAATAAATTACAAACTTGGGAAAATAACTTTTATATTGATCACATGATTATCGCGATACGCAAAATGCACTATGGGAATGAGTGATTGTTTTAGATGCCGCACAGCATGGCAGGTCGGCACGAGTAATTGGTTACTTATGACGCAGTGAACATGTTAAATAGCCTAACTTAAATCAATGTTATAAACTAGCATAAAGAATTCAATAAAAAAATTTTAAGTTTCATTTTTAGCGAATTTCCCATATAGGGAATAAGCTATTACCGTAGTACTCATGGTAAGACCTGGACCCGGGACCGATTTAATTTTTCATTTTGAGGTCCCTAGAGGCCAAAAACACCATCCATTAAATTCATATATATATATGTGTGTGTGTCCGTTAGCGCTATAACTCGAGCAAAAATGATCCGATTTTGATGAAATTTGGTACAAACGTGTAAACCTACATTTATTCGAACGAGTTCGCGATCCAGCGTAATCGGACCATGGGAATGGGGGTTTATGGGGGGTTTTATGGGGTAAAAATGGGGTTTTCCCATTTTTGACCCTAAAAACAAAAAAAAATTTGCCATTTCTCTTTAAACCATTTTGTAGAGCTTAAAAATAAATAATTTAGTATATAAAATCGCTGTTGAATGTCTAACGGTCACGGAGAAAATTCAAAAATAGTGTACTGTAATTTAAAATTCCCATGTTATTCTTATGGAGAAAATAAAAACTGTTGTAGTTTACTTGTTTATGGATATATATTGATAAAATTTGGCAGATTTATTTATTTCATCCTATACTATTGAGTTGGATAGGGCATGTGCTAAGAAGAGAGAAAGGAACAAGACTGTATGAAGTTTGGAGAGCCACACCTGGAGGTAAACGTCCATTGGGAAGGCCGAACTTGGCAGAAGACAGAGAAGGGTGGAAGAGGCTGGTACACGAGGCGAAGAATCAACTGAGATTTGTGGAGCCACGGCAGTAAGTAAGTAAGTATACTATTGACGTATGGTCAAAAACACTTTTTACCTTCCCCGTAGCAGCAAACCTAAGCACTCGTTAAATTTAATGTTATTTAAATAGGGAATAAATATGTCTTATTTATGGAAATATTTTAGTAAAATGTCAGATAAGTTGAAATTTGCTTAGTCTGCAGGTTTGCTGTGGTAGGGGTATTTTGTCTTTCAGCCCTAATAATAATACCTAAATCAAAATAAATAAACTCTTGGAAAAAAATACCTTGCTAGAAATGTTGCTATATGACCGGATTGTTCTTTGTCAATGGAGTAGTTTAACATCACCAATGAATGGGTTATCCAGTAACACAGCCATGGTCTGCTTGCATCCAAACACTGAACATAAAACCATCAACTCACAATTAAATAATGCTATATACAACACTATAGATAAACAAACACCACTATATTAACTAAAATTCATGTAAATGTTTTGCCAGGTAAAATTAATGAATATTTACCTCAAATTGCATAGACTATACTATAACTGCATAATTACTGCACGATGAGTCAATATGGTGTAATAACACAATTGAATGACACACAAGATGATTTATAATGCAAATTTTGTCTGTGCATTGATTGTGTTAGTGTAGTTTTTTACTTTCTCCACCTATTTGGTCCTTTCTCCCCTATACCTACATGGAAAAAGTATTGTTTTCTTCAACATTTTTACAATATTGTTTTTTAAAACTATTTTCTAAAAATTGGCAAGAATAATTTTAATAAAAATTATACCAGTTCAATACTCTGCATATGGTATCTAAGCTAGGCCTAAATAAAATCAAAACCTACCTCATAACCAGTTGGCAAATGACACAGATGTTGTTTTAGGAAATGCAAGTGTACATCTCTAAGAAGCAAAGGCTCTTCAGGGTCGATTTCTGCTTTCTTATAAAACAAATTGAACAACCGTTCAATGGACTTCTCCACTTTATCCTAAAATAAATTTAAAACAAAATTATTACTAGAAATCTTGTATATTAAAACGTGACAAGGTTTTTTTATTTCACGATTCTGAACCAACCACTTGATGAATTTTCATGATTTTAATGTTGAAAGAATGATAATTTTGATTTGTAATATAACCCAGTTTCAAGAACAGTTTTAACAAATTACCTTTTTGTTTTGTGTTGCCTTGAAGTTGTTGATTTTTTTTATTCCTGATGCGCATTTCACCACAGCTTATGGCATCATCAGAGGTCACTATGCTACAAAGTTTATATACACGAGAGTCACTGTACCGGTTGTCACATCACACTGTTTACACTTGCGGCGCGGGAGGCTTACTTGTGTAACCGGGACCGTTGTTAGACTGTCAGTGTCTGGTGGATGGACGGGTTGGGGTGTGGATTTCCCTAAATTGTTGTACCTGCGACGTTGTCTAATTTCTGCAGGGTTTCCAAATCGGTTAGTTTCTATTTCATACATGGTCTTAAAAATGATGGAGTTGTTGAAGTCCTCTTTTATGTTAAGTAGGCTGTCAGGTCCAGATTCGGTAGCTTGTTAATAGTTTTCGTAGCTTTCCTGTATTTTGGCTGTGGTTTTTGACTGGATTCAGTTTAAGATAGTAAACAGTGTCTCTCCATTCAGGGCTGAAGTAGTGATGATAACAGTACGCAGTTTGCAGGATCATGACGTGGTGCAAAAAGCTCTTTGTCCTACAAGAGCCATCTTGAGAGGCTCTCTTTCGGGAGGAGGTCTCTTAGAGCAACCCGCCATGGAAATCTTCAGCTTCCCTTTGAGAGCTGCTGGAATTTGGAAGGATCCGAAGCTTTTCGTACCTCGACCATAAACTGTAACTTAAAACACACTCCCCCCTGGCCTCAAAAATTACCTTTTCATCTTTTAGAGTTAAAATCAAAGAACTGTGCACTGATGATTAACTTAATTGTTATTTAGACCTACTTAGATTGTCTTAATTCTAGTTTTCTTTTGTTTTTTTTTCGTTTCTATTTGTTAGGTAATTTTTTTGTTAGGGTAGTTAATTTATTGTTATTTATCAACATAGGTAAGACAAAAGTTATTATGAAAAGCGATTGTATTAGATCAATAAAGGCGTATTTATTTAGCCTATTCATGTATCAGCAAGGACACCATACGATAGTAATAGGCCTATATTATTCAGGTTACGACATGGAAGCAGACTTTTTTAACGTTTGCTTGTTTTGCTGAGGCAATTTAACCCACATAGCCTATTAGACAGAAGTACTAATAGGAAAAAGCCGTTTCTCGACCAGACCCCAACAGATCAGACATTTGCCCATTTTCAAGCTCGGCTGGCTCGTGGTGACAAAGGAGTGAAGCCCTTAGACGACAAGTGCAACAAACATGACATGTGGTATCGAGATCATAGGTGTGCCAAAGACAAATAAGAGGCAGATAAGAAATTGCAAGACACTGCATGGAATAGGGTTAAGCCTTCCCCTCCCCATTCCCACCAGTAGAGTATATATGTTCGTCCTACTCCGGGATCCAATATAAACTCTTATCGGAGTAAAAATCGGGAGGTAACGAAGCCCAACCACTTTCACTAGTAGAGTATATATCTGTGTCCTACTCCGGGAGTTTACATGGGCTTTTATGGGAGTAAAAACCGAGAGGAGTCCTCCACCCCTCACTAGAAGAGTACTTATATATGTTTGCCCTACTCCGGGATCCAATATGGACCTTATGGGGACAAATTCAACCCCTTCCCTCATCACTTTGGGGAAAAATAATATTTTTTAGTTTTAGCGAATTTCCCCTATAGCAAATAGGCTATTAGCGAATTTCCCCTATAGGGAATAAGCTATTACCATAGGACTCATGGTAAGACCTGGACCCGGGACCGATTTACTTTTTCGTTTTGAGGTTTCTAGAGGCCAAAAACACCATCCGTTCAGATTCATATATATAAACCGTATATATATACTAGCGGAATACCCGTGCTTCGGTAACCAAAGGTAAACGGCTTAGACATTTCATAGAAGTATTCCCTGGAATTAAGGTAATTATTCCCGCAACATGTTCAACAATTGCTTCGCATGTGTATGTAAGATGAATTATGAATAAGAGTGAAGTAAATAAATACCACCATCTCCTCTAATGCGAATGTTATTGTGTGGAACGAAATCGCTATTAACATTTAAAACCTCAGTGTCCATACTACGAAACGGTTTAAACAACTACAAAAATATTAACAGAACGATATCATAAGTTCTTAAAAATTAAAATGCAATAAAAAACTAAGTCTGGTTCCACTTTCTCCAACACTAATCACACATATTAGAAGTTGATAAAACGAAAATGCCATAATAAATTAGGGTAATTTCACAACTATGGTGTTTATATGGTCCAAAATGCACAATTTTTATTTTTTGTTTTTCAATAGGGGTGTACGGACAAAATGAGAAATTATAAAAATAAATTTAATTATGTCCGAAATAACCTTAGTAAACTTAATTTTTATTTTAACAGCTGATGATGGAATAAATTGCAGACAACTACTGTAATTTCAAATAGTTCTCATCTGCGATCATGTAAACAAAAAAACTCCATGCTAACTTTCACATTCTGTGGGGCGAGGCCCATTGGGAATTTTGTAAAATCGCTTTTTATTGTCTGCCTCCTACGCTATGAGAGGAATATATATGCAAAATATCATGTTTCTAGGTGCTATGGTTTGGATTGTGCGTTGATCGGAATTTCACATTTATATATAGAGATATATATTTATATACGGTACCTATGTGTACGTTAAATAAATAAATAATTCATTCCGGTATGTTTTTTTCGTGATGGCATTATCATTGTTAATCTTGTTTTGTTGGTTACTCATCACATAAATAAAATTATAGGCTACACAATTTCCTAAAAAAAATGTGGAGGTATATTTCAAGTTTACATCAAAACTCATCTTCAGCCTCTAGTAACAACATATCAAGTAAATAAACTATGATTTATAATGTTTGTTTATAAATTAAGTAATTAACATATGTTTGAATTATTTTAAAATTAAGTTAGTAGGAAAAAATGTTGTTATATATGTATATATTATGTAATCACAGTTAATTTATTATTGTTTTTTCAATTTTAATTTTGTTCTCAACCTCTTCTCGAAATCAAAGGTATAAACATGGGGCTGATTGTAGCACTAGGTTGGGATATGCTTCTTTTATCAACCGCCATGCAAGCAGCTTCTTTAAGATTTCTTAAGTTTCCAGTCTGCTTCCTGGTAGATCATAGTCGATTCAGTCCAATGTATACTATGTTCTTCAAAGAAGACATGTTCACTAAGTTTGGAATAGTTCTCCACATGGTTACTAATGCTCTTCTGGTGTTCTTTTAGTCTCTTCTCCATGGGTCGTGATGTGATATGTTGTTACTAGAGGCTGAAGATGAGTTTTGATGTAAACTTGAAATATACCTCCACATTTTTTTAGGAAATTGTGTATAATTTTATTTATGTGATGAGTAACCAACAAAACAAGATTAACAATAAATAAATAAATAAAAATGCATTTATTTATCAAGTGTTTCTCAATACAACTACTGCTTCTCAGAACAACTTTTGTCAATAACAATATTAAACTAACAACAAATAAATAGACCAATAACAAAACAGAAACAAGACAATATGAATAACAATAATTAACCATCAGTGCACAATTCTTTGATCTTAATTCTAAATGATGACAAAGAATATTTTTTGAGGCCAGAGGGGAGGTCGTTGTACAGTTTTGGACCGAAGTACGAGAAGCTTCGTCTTCCAAACTCAAGCCTCGCTCTTGGAAAGAGAAGCTGGAGACCTCCATGGTGGGTACTGCGCTTAGAGACCTCCTCCCGGAAAGAGAGCCTCTAAAGAAGGTACAGTGGCTCCTGTAGGACAAGAACCTTGTGCACCATGCAGCACGTCATGATCCTGCAAACAGTGTCTACTGTCATCATTCCCGCTACAACTCTAAAGGGAGAGATATGTTCAAATTTTGTTAGGCAAAATATGAAGCGAATAGCTGAATTTTGCAGTTTCTGCATTCAGGTCATGTCTACTCCAGAGATGCTGTTTCCATAAGCAGGGAGACAATATGTAAACACCAACATGACTAGTGACTGCATGAGGCGCAGCTTCGCAGATTCTGGCAGCAGACTTCTAAACCTGTACAGCCCTCTGCCTTCTTAGCGTGCGCTGCGAAGCAAGTGTGACATGGTCAGAGAAGGTGAGGCTGCTATCAAGCACAACGTTAAGAGTCTTTGACTTGTCAGACAAAGACAAAGATTCCCCGTTGAGCACAACACTCACTCCTCTCTCGCTGAGGGACTGCACCAAGTCTTGTGGCGCCGTATGCGTCAGTACACTTGCCAGTATTGAGCGATAACTCAAGCAAAAATCATCCGATTTTGATGAAATTTGGTACAAACGTGTAAACCTACATTTATTTGAACGAGTTTGTGAACCAGCATACATTTTTCTATTGTAACTCATAATATATCGTATAAAACTAACAGCTTATAACCAAAACTTGTTAAAGTCACCCATCTCAAAATAAGCATCAGGGTGAGAATTTGTATACTAGGTGATCTGAATATAGATAGGCCTACATTGAATGATGGTAATGAAGAGAGAAATTTGTTGGATCTGGCCTAATCTTTCAGGTTAGTGGATATTTTAGGCCATCTGCCCACTAGAGAAACTTTATTTTCATCATCATCTATTGACCACATAATCACAGATGTTAATTTTACAGAAGCCAAAGTGATAAATGGTTTTATATCTGATCATTATGCACAATATGTGGATGTTAAAGCTGTTGTAGCTTACAATTGTACTGATACTTTTTTGTACAAGCGCAAATTTAATGAAGTAAATGTAGCTAGCCTTAGACATAGTCTGTCCAAGGAGACTTGGGATTCAGTTTTTGTTCTTATGGATGTTAATCATAAATGGAAAGAGTTTTTTGACATCCTATTGTGGCATATAGATGTAAACTGTCCTGTTAATAAAATTAAAAAGAAAGGTAAGGTACATGATAAAGCTGTAAGTAAGGTGGTTCTAAGTGAACGTACATTAGCATTGCAGGCAAGTATGATAAATATGCATACTGTTTTCAAACAAACTGGCAGTGAGATTTACAAGGCCAGGTACACACAACTTAAGTCTCTTTTTCGCAAAGAAGTAAAATTAGCAAAATCTGAACATATCAGATCTAAAATAACTTCATCAGACAATGTTTCAAAGAGTGCATGGTCATTTGTAAATAGCATTAAAAGTAAGCCTGGATTGGAATCTGGGTCTAAGAGAAACATTTCCCTAGTAAAAGGTAATGAAGTAATCTTGGATCCTGTTGTAAGCCAACATTTCAATGATTATTTTGTAGATATTGTTAAGAAGGATGTAGTATAAAATGAGCTTAACTTGTTTGAAAACCAGGGAACTGATTTTATGAATACTCACTGGGGAGTTCCACTTACTATTATTAATGAATCTGTCATTTCAATTATAAATTACTTAAACAACAAAACCTCTTCAGGCTGGGACAATATTTCACCTAATTTGTTTAAGAAATGTAAATCTGAACTGACACCTATTCTGGTTTATTTGATTCAGACTGTGTTGTCTACATCATTCTTTCCAGATCTACTTAAACTCACCATCGTTAAACCATTCTATAAGAAGAGAGTAAAGACAGATGTGCAGAATTATAGGCCTATTTCTCTCACATCTACTTTTAGTAAAGTAATCGAGAAGTTTGCCCTTGGGTGTTTGATACAATTTTTTGATGAACATAAAATTTTGTCAGATTTTCAGCATGGCTTTCGAAAGGGTCGGAGCACTATCACTGCTGCTGTCAATTTTGTTCACACTGCACTTGAAAAACTTGATGAGGGTTGTAAAGTGGCAGCGCTTCTGCTAGACCTTTCGAAGGCCTTTGATCGGGTTGACCATTCGATTTTATTGGCTAAACTGATTGGTTATAAAGTTCCAGGATGGTTAGTGAGTCTGGTGGAGTCTTATCTAAAAAATCGCAAACAATGCACCACAGTGTCTATTGATGATGGCACGACAGTGAGAGAACATAGGTCTGAAACACAAGTGGTAACATCAGGGGTCCCACAGGGCTCAATTTTAGGACCTTTTTTGTATATAGTCTATGTAAATAGTTTTATTGTTATGGATAATGTTTTTGCATGTATGTATGCAGATGACACATCTGGGCTGTGCTGGGCAAACAATATGGCAAATCTCAAAGTTATATTACTGTAACAAATTTTGCAGAAGCTGCCAATGCTTATTTTTTAGAAATAGATTTAAAGGTAAGCTTAAGTAAGACTGATCTTGTTAATTTCTCAATTGGTCACAATGTTCCAGCTCTTAGCATTGCATGTGAAGATATGACTCTGGATGGTAATGATTTTTGTAAATTTCTTGGTATATTTTTTGACAAGCATTTTACATGGGACAAACACATTGATCATGTTGCTGCTATGGTTTTGATTGGAATTTCTCTGTTAAGAAGGCTGTCAGACTACTTGGACAGTGAAACTTTAACACGTTGGGTGCTGATGACGGGAATTCCCCCCATTGCTTAACATTGAAATAAATGCAATTTTCATGTTCAAACATGTCAACGGCACTTTAAGTGTTAAGGGCTGTTTATTTTGGAGTGGTATATTCGGATATTTAGCTAAAATGAGAACAAAGAAAATTAATCCTTGTAAATGATGATGAAGAACGTTTGTCTTGTGGGGAGGTTCTTTCCATTCATATACCAAAAGGATCTTTGTGTTACAGAAGAGAGCTCTACGTTTAGTTGCAAAAGTTAGCCCGGGGACTCCAAGTAAAGTTATTTTTGTTTCACATAGTATTTGACTTTGTACGCTACCTGTATGTATACCAGGTTGTATGTTTGGTTAAATTTAGCAGTTGTTCTGGTAATTTAGTTTTTAATGTAGGACAAATACATGACCATGACACTAGACTGGGTAATGATTTTTTCAGAGTGAGGAGAAATTTCCAGAGAACAGAAAACAGCCCTTATGTCAAGGGAGCAAAATTTTTTAATAAATTACCGAAGTCAATCAAAGAACTAAAAGGTAAAAAATTCAAAAGTTTTTTTGAAAATTTGGCTAATTAATAAATGTCCAGCCAGACTTGAGGATTTCAATTAAAAAAAAGGTATGCCTAGCCTATTGTGTGAGTAGAACTTTGTAGAGTAGAACACATGGTTTTGTACTCAAATCTGTATTTTTGCATGGTTTGCTTTGTATGATAAGTGACTATTAACATTGATGATTGCAATGCATGTTTTTCATGTTAAAAGCAAATAAAGACATTTCATTTCATTTCAGCATGATTGGACGGGGGGGATTTAGGGTAAAAATTGGGTTTTCCCAATTTTGACCCTAAGAATATAAAATTTAGCAATTTCTTCCCGAACCATTTTAGAGCTTAAAAACAAATTGGTAATTTAGTATATTGAAGCATTATTATGCGCCTAATGGCTAAGGAGAAAATACAAAAATAAATTAAATTTAAATTAAGCCTACCATGTTATTCTTATGGAGAAAATTGTAAACTGTTGTAGGTAGTTTGCTTGTTCATGAGCATATTTTGATAAAATTTGATAAATGCATTCATTTTTTGATAAAATTTGATAAATGCATTCATTTTAGCGAATTTCCCATATAGGGAATAAGCTATTACCGTAGTACTCATGGTAAGACCTGGACGCGGGACCGATTTTTTTTTTTCGTTTTGAGGTCCCTAGAAGGCCAAAAACACCATCCGTTCAAATTCATATATATATATATTTATATATTTATATATATATATATATATATGTGTCCGTCAGCACGATAACTCGGGCAAAAATGATCCGATTTTGATGAAATTTGGTACAAACGTGTAAACGTACGTTTATTCGAACAAGTTCGCGATCCAGCATGATCGGACCATGGGAACGGGGGTTTAGGGGGGGTTTTATGGGGTAAAAATAGGTTTTTCCCATTTTTGACCCAAAAAACATACCTAGCAATTTCTTTCCAAACCATTTTGTAGAGCTTAAAAAAACAAATAATTTAGTATATTGAAGCGTTATTATGCGCCTAATGGTTACGGAGAAAATTCCAAAAAATTGTAAATTTAAAATTCCCATGTTATTCTTATGGAGAATAAGTAAACTGTTGTAGTTTGCTTGTTTGTGAACATATTTTGATCAAATTTGGAAAATGTTTTTATTTCTTACTAACTATTCACATTTTACAAAAAAAAAACAGTTTTACCCTCCCTGATGCAGCAAACCTAAATACTTGTTAAACTAATTCTATTTAAATCAAGAATAAATGTTACCTATATTTTTAAGTAGACATTTCAGTGTAAATCTAATCAGTCAAATGGAAATTCGCTTAGTCTGCAGGTTTGCTGCGGCGGGGGTATTATACTATTTTGTACTCATAAAAAAAAAACACCTCGTTACCCTCCCTGTTGTAGCAAACCTAAGTAGCCTAAATGTTAAACTAATGCTATTTAAATAGGGAATAGATGTGATATTTTTAAGGAGACATTTTAGTGCAAATTCAATCAGGCAAATGGAAATTCGCTTAGTCTACAGGTTTGCTGCGGTGGAGGTATTTTGTTTTCTTACAGTGATCTCTTAGAAATTGTTGTACTTTTAAAGTGGAGTCAATATTTTCATATCCCAGCAACCAAGCTTTCGTAATCTTAAATAATACCATTGAATGATGTAATAGTCAATGATAAATACACAAATAGTATTTGTGTATTTACCTAGCTACCATTAGCTGCATCCAAACAAAACAGCTGTTACAACCCTACTTGTAATGTTGCCACTTTGAAGGCCACAGCCTGTAGTTAACTTAAAGGTAAGTAGTTGTTCATCGACACTGACTGATAACAAAGAGAAAGGGTTTAATGGATAGGACAGAATGACGGAATACCAGCAAGTAACGAGGGGAGAGAGAGGGAGAGATAGGTAACTTAGATAGATAGAGAGAGAGAGAGAGAGAGAGAGAGAGAGAGAGAGAGAGAGATAAAGAGAGAATGGATAACACTCTCCACGTGAGTCCTCTTACCATTAAGTTACATTCCTTTGGACCAGTTGAACCTAGTACTGATCGGCACTGAAAGGTACCGATCCAGGAACATCCGTACATTTTGGAACTAGTTACTATGGACTAGGCCTAGTTCCGGGTACAGTTTCTTAACTGGGCTATGCTAATATCGATTGAACCTATCGATTCGATTAGTAAACTTTCATGTGATTTTTTCACCATCAGCAAGTTTGGTTGGTTAGGTTAGGTTATGATAGTTAAATTTTATAATAGATAGGCTATATTTAAAAATATCAATTGTTAATCAATATTTTCAATTCGATAGTTTCAATTGATATTAGCATAGGCCTAGCCCAGTTAAGAAACTGTACCCCTAGTTCCTAGTGTACCGACCCATCCCTAAGTTATCTTACACTTAATCTGAGACCCTAACTGCTAGACTAGGTCTAGGCTTATGTAGGTGACATGCAAAATAGGCCCTAAGTTTAAGCATCGGTTAATGTTTCCTTAAAATGCAACATATTTTTACTAACAATGTGCTACTTACTTGCTCTTTTGAGGTTTTAGTTTCGAGCCCCTCATTATCAAACAATTCAGTAGTTCCACTAATAGCAATATTACACCATTTGTCTCCTTTAGCTGTGATGGACATGTCTGTAAGTCTGTATCTTACTTAGTCCTAAATCTAAATCTAGGATAAGATATTCAATCACTAAAAAACAAAACTTTGTGATTGTTAGCAGGTCTAACACTGAAATTAGGTATTGAATAAAACTTATAGGCTATCATGCCTTTTACATGCAAATAATGTTCATTATAATTTTAACCAACATAAATTAAATAAAGTTCCTCTATAGGCCTAATGTTTAAAAAAGTTGTCAACATTTTAGTTTAGGCTTATCTTATATCACCAAATTGTTTTGAAATGAATGGAACTGTATCAGAATCTTACACAAACTTTCTATTCACTGTATGCCTAGAACCAATAACTGACAATAACAACCACAAAATATTTTCGTTTTTAATTTATGAATGTACAAAATAGGAAATTTTTAAATTCTTAACTTCAGTCGGAAGAAAATAATCAAAAGATCAAATAAATAGTCCTAATCGATTAACCGATCAACCGATCCGATAAAAGCGAATGAATACTGCTTATCGAATTCGAAAAATGTTGTTATGATCACGATTGTTCAGTTTTTTTAAGGGCAGTATAAAGCCACGGCCGCCTTTAACTACGGTAGTTAAAGGCGGCCGTGATAAAGCACTAAAGTGGCTTTTTAAGGGACAACGGACTATGCCGTAGATTAAAGCATGTTTTATCTATGATTAAAGTATACAAACTTTTTAAAACCAACCTCTATATCAACCAAGGTGGAAAATCCATCCAACTGCACGGCCACCTTTGAAGGCGGCCGTGTGAACTGTCTGTAGTTTAACTGAAATTTGATTTCGTCTTCCTCGTCCTCGCATAAAATATTGATAGTCTGGTAATTTATTAAACTAGCAACACAACACGACCAAATAGTTTTGTACAGTGTATTTAATTTTTATTCCAACTGATATATCCATTTTACAAAAATAACAATTCAAAATAGTAATAGTAGTAGGATGGCTAATATGTTACCTTATTACCGTGTCTTCATATTTTACCCAATTAGGAATTGATGGCGTCAGAATGCCAATACTGTGTATTATACCAAATACTGTAGAACATTATGGCTATGGTAGATGTGTAATACCATAGATAAAACATACTCCCTTAGTAGATTTCTCATCCTTATGGAACAGCTGAAGACAATTTTATTGTTAGTTCATGTACGGTTTATGTAGAGGTCGTGTTTTGTTTTCAATTTGTTTCCCGTTATTACAGCCATTTAAAACCTCGTTTAACCAAATAATACGATCTAATCATAAACAATAACTTGTCCCCTAGTTATATAACCAAACAGTAAAGCACAAATCAAGAAATTAACCCTAAAATAATGGAATCAAAGTTTTATCGACACTAGCGCCTTTGTGTCACGTACATGAACTAGACACGAAAAACGTGCTTCAAAATTTACAATTGGATGATAAGTCTACTTGTGTTGGTTAGTCTATGGTAATACTATGGCATTACTCTGTTTCAGTATTAAGATATATCAAGTATAAACATCGTCTACTGAATAAGTCGATAGACAAAAATAAGTTAATGGTATAAATAAAAATAATTAAATGCCAACATGGTAATCATTAAAGAGTGTTATTAATGAAATAGCGTGCACTAGCTGTGTACCCGTTCTACGCACGGGGATCTTATAGTATACAGTTGAAACCTTATAAAGAACAGCAGTTATGGTTTGCATATTTTCAAATATGCTTGCCAAACTATTATACATAACTTCATTTTATGTTGTTTGTTGTTCTTCCGGATCGGCGGTATGACAATCAATAAAAGGTAAATTACCTGTGTCCATCGGTTGATCCTAATGCATCCTATTACAGGAGACGCATTTTGGCGAAATTAAATCGCCATCGTTAAAAGCCCCGTGTACACGAGGCTAGTACTAGCAGCTAGTTGATTAGCGCTAGTAAATTCGCTCCGTGTAAACGGTCTACTAGCGTTAAAAATTACTAGCGCGCTAGCATTTTACTCGCTGCTAGTCGTTTTGAACATGTTTGATATTACTAGCGCTAATAAGTGGAGGGGGTGGTCACGTGACCACTAGTGCTAGCGAACTAGCACGGTACTAGCGGGGCATTTGCACTTCTGCTAGTGCTAATCGCCACTCGCCACACGCCGGTGATCAGTTTCGACTGATACTGCGATAGGTGTTGTTGTGAAGACTCGAAATCTTGAGGCCAGAATTCCGAATGCATTTTCGGATACCCTTCTGGCTCTTGAGAGTCGGTAATTGAATACTCTCTCACTTAATTCTAAGTTTCTGTGACTATAGGTTGTTAACAGATTGTGACGTAGCGGGAAAGCATCATCAGCCACACATAAACCATTCTTTGGCCACTGAAGAAGATTTTGCTCCAAAGCTATATTTAAGTCAGAGTTTTTGAAAATTGTGCTGTCATTGGCTCTTCCGTCACAGCATACATCAATGAAACTGAAAGTGTAGTCGGCATTAACCATAGCAAATAGTATTATGCTATAGAAACCTTTGTGGTTGAAAAATGTTGACGTAGAATTCAAAGGCCTTTTTATGCGAATATGTTTGCCATCCAGCGCTCCACAACAGTTTGGGAAGTTCCATTGTAAACAATAACCAGTTTGAATAGCTTTCCACTCTTCAAGTGTCATAGGTACCTTAAATGTCATAGGCACACGAAATAAGTATTGTAAAGAAGGAAATGAATCTCCTAATAGCCAGAAATTTTCAGATCGTCCTTGCGGGTATTTTATGCCACAAATTTTGACGAAAGGCTATACCTATTTACAGTGATGACCAAACAGTTGTCAAGAAGCATTAATAGATATGGTATGTACCAAATATGATAATTTTAGCTCTATTCTAATTATGACAAAACACGATGTAACTAAAAGCGAGTTTTGTTGGTGTAGTAAGCGTTGCAGGAGGTCTACTTTACACTGAATCGACGTTCACTTTTATTGCTTTTGATCTTCCGGCACTGTTGACTCAGCGAAACTGAACTTGTATTTTACCGTATTTCGTTATATTAAACGAAGATTAACACTTGTTTAACACTAATTTAACGAAGATTAACACTAATTTGAATAACACTTGAACTATCTAATCTAAATATAAATTGAAAAAAATACTTGATTCAAGCTTGAAAAAGTTTGGTTTGTCAAATCTGCAAACTTGAAGGATCGGGTTTGTAAACTTGATTCAAGTTAAAATCATGCGTCGAAGTTCCCGCTCTTCCAGTTTGAATAAAACTTGAAAGATCCAATCTATATATTAATACGCAAGCAGTTTTCTTTTCACAGTCATAACTCAATAACGGCTTGATGGATTTTAAAGTTTGAGGTGTCAAATTAAAGGTATTTTCACGTAGGTGTGCAAATACGTCTCAGAATATTTAGAAAGGGCACCACTTAAGTACACTTAAGGGCTAAAGTTTGGAAGGTGGCGCTAATGTCAAATCTGTTGACATTTGATCAAACTCATTTCCCTTTGTTTACAAATAACATATGGAAGTAGTTTGAAATAGTTTTTAAGGTTAACCACAGACCGCAGGACTTAAAACTTCCAGAGCAAAGCTGGAATTTATATTTTGTTTCAATCTGTTAACTAAGTCTGGTTGGTTCTGGTTCATAAAGAAGAGTTTAATAATAAATATTTAATTTTTTTTGTCTACGGTTAAATTGATTCTCCTACCGTCCAAAATCCACAGCCTTCTAGATTTGCGCAGACAGTACTATAACAAGTGTTGGGTCACTGGGGAGCCGTGCCTAAACTTCGTTTTCCCCATTCTTGGACCTCCGGTTTTCCCCGTGTGTGATAAATTGAGCAAACTATTTACGGGAACAAAAATTCTTCTCTTACATCATGTCTACCTCCTGCCCTATTTGTGTCAAAAAAGTCCTTGATACCGAGGAGGGTGTCAGCTGCGATGGCCCCTGTCAACGATGGTTTCACAGGTCTTGCATTGCTATGAGCAAAACAGAGTACCAGCGGATTTCTGGAAATACCAACGCAAAATGGCACTGCACCAGAACAGACTGTGTGAACACTTCCAACCAACCACTCGCATTACTCACCTCCCAAATGTCATCGTACTGGGCAAACTTGATACTCTACTAGACAAAGAGTAAATAAAATTGATACCATTTCAAATGATGTAGCTGATATAAAGAACGAAGTTGCTACCATTCGTACTGGACTGTCAGCACTAGAACCTAGAGTGGATCAAATTGAGGTCAGGGTATCCCTGCTTGAATCAAAAGACAAAAATGCATCCCCCTCCACAGATCTGGAAACTAACATAGCAGAGCTAAACGAGCTCACCCGCCGCGCCAAAAACTTAATGATCTACAATCTGGAAGAATCATCTGTGGGTGATGTTGATGCCAGGAAAAACATGATCTGGAATTGGCCATTTCCTTTTTCTCAACCCTCATTCCTAATTTCTCTAACAATGGAATCAAAACTTTCCGTGTTGGCGGTAAAAAACCTGACAAACCTCGACCTCTTAAAGTTGTGCTTGGCAGCAATTCTGATGTAGTCACTGCAATGAAGAATTTTGCCAGCTCTGAGACCAATTTTAATCCACGATTTTCTTCCGTCAAGCTATCCAGAGACAGAACTCCCCGTGAAGCCGCCTACCTTCAAAACCTCAATGCCGAATTAAAGGAACGCACCACCCGTGGCGAAAAGGATCTCACCATAAGGTTCCTAAACAACATCCCCCCCAGATTGTTAAAAATTCAAAAAACGAATAATTCCCAACGGCGCACCGCATCACCTCAGTTGTTATTTTCAAAACGTGAATGGCTTAAGAAGCAAAATTTCTAAACTCTCAATCAGTGCTACAACTTCCTCCCTGATATTATTGCCCTGGTTGAAACGAATCTCTTACCTGACATGAACTATTCAGAACTTGGTCTTACTGGTTTCAACGTTTTCAGATGCGACAGATCTTTGACCACACGAGCAATAAGATCAGTGGTGGTGGTACTCTCATAGCAGTACGTGATCACCTAGCAAGTAAACTTGTCCCCTTGCATGCCTGCTCCTCGGAATGCGTTTTTGTTATCTTTACTTCTGGAACCCGTCGCATCTTGTTGGGCTCTGTCTATATCCTCCCAGCCAGCCTGCCATCGTCTATGCCGACTTCTGTGACGTGGTGGAGGATATCTTCTCATCTTCTAACTTCGTGGATGACGTGCTTCTCTTCGGTGATTTTAACAAACCTGAAGCGGACTGGGGTGAACTTGATTCCTGCGAAGGTGATTCCTCTTCAAACTACCTACGCAACTTAGCTTCTACTCACAACCTCTCCCAAATCAACAAAATCCGAAATCGCAGAGGTGTCTACCTGGACCTCATTTTTTCATCTACTCCTACAACTGCAGTTATCGGCGCTGACGACCTTCTTGTTGCCGAAGACATTCATCACCCTGCGCTCTCCTGCTCAATCCTGCTGCAGAAACCCTCAGCCTCGAGCAACGTCAGGATCGTACCTGACTTCAGAAAATGCAACTTGGACGCTGTATTTCGTGATCTGCAGAGTGTTAACTATCCTTCACCTTCTTCTCTACCTGATACCGAATCTGCCTTCTCTGATTTCTGCGACCACCTTGGCTCAATCATATCTCAACATACACCCACAAAACAGCTTCAATCCTCAAGCTTTCCTGCCTGGTTTACCGAGGAACTAAAACGACTTGTCTTAAGGAAGAAAAGGCCACCCATCGACTTCTTAAAACCTCAGGAAATATTCGTCATCGTGAAAGTTTTCGCAATTTGAGAAGCCAGTGAAGTCCTTAGCCACCAAGTGTCATCGAGACTACTTAAAAAGAATTGAAGACGACATTCCTCATAACATAAAATCTTTTTGGTCTCACGTCAACAGACTCAAGAGCAGTCCATCCCCTGCTGCTAAACTATCATTTGATGGTAGAGAGGCTGAGAGTGCTGCCGGAAAGTGTGAACTGTTCTCAAACTACTTTTTATCCGTCTTTACGGAGAACCAAATTCCCTCGCCCGTCTTCGACTTTGGCTGGAACGTCTCCATCACTAAATGTGTCGTCACTGCCTCAGACGTTCAGAAACTCAAACTTGCCTCGCTTGACCCTAATAAGGGAGCCGGTCCTGATGCTCTTCCTCCGTGCGTTCTTAAATACTGTGCCCCTATTTTGGCTCCTCATCTGGCTATCTGGTTTACATCCCTGCTCTCACTTGGAATCTTCCCATCGGCCCTTAAGCGTGGCTTTGTCGTCCCCATCTTCAAATCTGGCGATCGTTCAAATGTCAAAAGCTATCGGCCCATTGTCATTCTCTCTGCTGTTGCCAAGGTGTACGAGAGCATTGTTTTGGACTACCTCTATTTTCATCTCCGTAAATGTATCTCTTCCTCTCAACATGGCTTCCTGCGCTCACGCTCAACAGTAACAAACCTGATGGAGTTTCAAGAATACGTCATACGTCTCCAAGTTAACTGCGTTTACCTTGATCTCTCCAAAGCCTTTGACAAGGTCAATCACAACATCCTTGTAGCAAAGCTTGCCGGATATGGTGTGGGGGGGGTGCCCTGCTTGAGTGGTTAAACAGCTACTTGACCGACAGAACCCTTGTAGTCAAGTACGACGGGTACCTTTCTGTGCCATTCAGTGTCCTATCTGGAGTCCCGCAAGGGTCCCACCTCGGTCCCTTGCTGTTTAATCTGTTCATGAATGGCATTGGCAACGTCATCCTCACAAAATTTCTCATGTTTGCCGATGATATTAAGGTATTTGGCTCGGCGTCATTGGCTTCTGACTTTGAGCGCCTCCAACTTTCTCTCTCTAACATCGACGCCTGGTGCAAGGTGAACTTCATGGAGCTCAACGTCTTGAAATGTGTTGTCATCTCCTACAAACGCGGTGCAGCCCCAGTCCAATGCGATTATGTCCTCAATGGATCTACACTAAAGAGTGGACAGGGTACGAGATCTCGGAGTGACAATGACCCCTTCGCTCAACCCTCATGAGCACATTGCCCACATTACAACCAAAGCTAGCTCCCTGCTTGGTTTCATATTCAGATCAACTAGGAATTTCAACTCACCTTTCACCTTGATCACGCTCTACAAGTCCCTCGTGCGCCCGCTGCTGGAGTATGGGTCTATCATCTGGTCTCCCTTCCAGAGGAACCACGTCAGCCAACTGGAGAGCATACAAGCCCGCTTCATACGGATGCTTGGACCGAGACTTGGTTTTACCTACCGCACTACCCCGGTTGACGATGTGGGGAAGTCTTTCGATCTTCTACCTTTGTCACTCCGACGTCATCATGCCGACATAATCATGCTCTACAAGCTGGTTAACGGGTTTGTCGATTGCCCCAACATCCTGAGTGGTATCGACATTACCACGCCAGAGGCACACGCTCCAAGACTATATTCAGCAGACGCTTTCTCCCAGCCTACTATTCCTACAACAGCGGAATTTGCCGTCTACTCAAGGCTGGTAGCATGGCGGCTGCTCAACTGGACTTCTTCTGTGAGAAGCCCCTCCCGTTCAAAAAGAAGGTCTCCCTGATCACTTGAGTAACCACACTCCAGCGCATCTGCATATTTGTCTTGTCATCGTTGAAACCTGCTGTTTATATTCTTTGTTGTTACTCTTTGAGTTTATTCTTCTGTTATTAATATTTGTTATTACTTTGTTATTACTTGCTTTATCATTTTGTTATTACCATTGTTATTACTTTTCTAGTTAGTACTATTGCAAATGCCATCTCATATTGTAAACACATATTTTGAAAAATGGTGCAATCCGTTGGGAAATAAATAAATAATAAATAAAGTTGAGGAACTGAACGATGAATTAGAACAACTCCATTTCAAGAGTAGCTCAGAAGAACGGGAGCTGGGAGCTTGTCGATAAACTGGGACTATTTCAGTGTCGACAAAATGAAACTATTTCATTGTCGACAATATGCAATGTCGACAATTTGCTATGTCGATAATTTGCGACGTCGGTTATTTCCCATGTAGCACAGATGGTTGGGCCAACGTTGGTAAATTGTGGAGCCACACAGTTGGCCAACGGTAGAAATGTCACCTCTTTAAACTGTTTTCCCGCCAACCATTGTCCAACCGTTTTATTTCACACAAAATAATAAAGTTTTAGTACGAAAAGCATAATTATTAGTTGAGTAAATTGATTAAATAGTTCATAAAAACAAATTTTGAAAAAAAAGCTAGAACAAAATTTTTTGGCCCAGACGGGTCTCGAACCCGGGTCCTTCGACTTATGAGACTCTTACTTTACCACTGAGCTATCTGTGATTGTTGAAATAGAGAGTTTTCAAGTGGTGAAAGAGTAGCCGACAGTTGCAATGGTCGCAATACTTCAAACATTTTTGATACTACACAGTATAATATGATTCTGTTAATCTGTTAAGGCATCATAAGTGGTTATTTTTTTTTTTTTTTTTTGAGTTAGAGAGGATACTGGTATTTGAATATAGATTAATTAATTACCGTTAGATTATTAATGCTATTATAATTGCCTGTTATATGATTAATTACTCTTTCCCCTTAAATTGTTGCAAATAAGTTAAAGAATATTAATTTAAAAAATATTTGCATTATTATAATTATTAAAATTCATTGTTGTAGCCCCGGAACTGTAATATATAAAATATCTGGTTTTACAATACCTTTATCATTTCCAAAAACTTTTGGAAACTTTTGGAACTGATAAAGGTATTGTAAAACCAGATATTTTATTATAATTATGTTGTGAAAGCTAGACCCAGAGAATGAAAGTCGTGTAAACTCAACTATGGACCATCGTTGGTCCAACAAAAGTATCTTTTGTTGGTCCAACGGAGTGAAAAACGGTTGGACAACGGTTGGCTTGATGTATGATACCCAGCAATGCATATTAATGTATTTCATTAACAATGAACCAATGTTGGTCCACAGTTGTAAATATTGGTTGGCCCAACTACGAGATATACAGTTGGACAACGGTTGGTTGGTTGTGGAAGCTCCAACCAACCATCGACCAACTGTCCCACAGTTGGCCAACGTTGGCCCAACCATCTGTGCTACATGGGTTAGGATGTCGGTAAAATGGGTATATTTCAGTGTCAACCAAATGGGAATAATTCAGTTTCGATCAATTTCAACGGTTGTCGATAATATGGAACAACCCCACTAGGGAGTATCGAATCCACAGTGCATGCCTATAAATATCCACAATTCGTGACCTCCTAGTAGCTGGATTACAGGACGACGCCACCCGTCCCAGTCATAACTTATTGATTATTTAATTTGATAAACTTTTTTAGTAACTGTACACTGGCACAGTCCTAGAGTTCTGCGTTGTAAATATTTGTCTGCTTGTTACCCATGGTGGAAGGTTGTTACCTTCCATAATAAGGTTCCATTTCATGTTCCATAACATTATGGTAACATTATCACCATGGCAACATTATCAGTTATAAGGTTCCATTCCATTATGTTACCTTATTATTATAAAGACCGTTAAACTATCTTTTAACTTTTATGATACGGAGACATGACGGAAGTCATAGATTTAGAGAATATTTGGAGAATAGAATAATTAATCTATGGTAGCGCTTAGGTGCTTCCTAAAAAAGGGCTAACCACATTAGTTTTTCTCTTTTCTTGGTTTATCGAAACAATATCGTTCGTTACCGTTACCACATCGTACTATCGTCACTATCGATTGTCGTCCACCCTTTGCTGTCTGTCTGTCCTGTCCTGTCGTCCTGTCAGTCTGTCAGTGTCAGTGTCTGTCTGCTGCTGCTCCTGCCTCCTGCTAGGCGCAGTGACAGTAATAACAAATTTAAATTTGGATACCAATTTGAATTTGATTATAAACTGTGAGTACACATTTATTCTTGAATGCTCAAACAAGTTTCCACTTTCTGAGCTGATAATATTATGTATTACCAAGCTTTGCTTTATTACGTAACTTTTGTAGACTGTCAAAATTGAATTGTAAATGTAAATGGGTAGGCCCTACTGTATCAGTCAACCTAGCTTTGTTATATTTACCATTTACCATAAACACGTGAAATAATAAAAATAAGTTAGTTATAAAAGTACTTAGACCCTATCACTGCCATTTTTAACTTACATTGGTGTCTTCTCTGCCGTCCTTGTAGACAGGGGTATCTTCAATTCTTGTGTGTGGAAGTGTAGAGTTGAGCATTGCTTATTAATACTTTAACCCTTTCAGTGCTAGGCCAATAATTCATATTTTGTAAGACTTTTTGGTTTGCCTTTTAATTCCATTACCCGTTGTTGAATTTTAACTGTCACGTTGTCACTATTTTATTAATTAGGCTAATTTTGAATAATAACACAATAAGAAAATACACAAGAAAGATAAATCCCGGTATTTGTAGTAAACATCAAATAAAACTTAGTTTTTGTTGGGAATTTTCCTGGTTTTCCTATAAATTTTTATGTTCTGATAGCATTATTTGAAACCGAAATCTCACAAAATCAAAAGACATATAGTTTACAATGTAATATTGAATTTAACTCTGATTTAGTTGGACGAGGTTATTTTAATATAGCAATTTTAGGGAAACTAATGTTTTGCAGCAAAGTCTCAGGAACACATTTACTACTACTAAAACTAAAAGATTGCATCTAAATAGTCCGTGACTAGCTGGTGCTGCTACCTAGTAAAGCATTGAACAACCATCTGCAGCGCCATCTGTTCGCAATCGGTGGCGACAGCTTAAATACCGGGTTTTGACTCCCCAGTCTTCAAACACAGATAGCCGAGAAGGCTAGGGCGTGTGTCACTTGGCCAGTGGCATTCGTCTGCTCGGGTTCGAATCCCGTCCTGTGTGGCAAATAATTGGTGACCTGTGTGTTTGTAGCGATATACTACAACCACTGGGGCATAGTGAGGTGTTCATAATCCTTGGTTTAGACATACACCTCGAAATCATCGGATTGGGCGAATCTTTTAGCTAAGTGGTTGGTAGTGTATTCTATGAACATGCAGGTCACCAATGGCCGTTTTGCTATTTTTTTTAAAAATAACCTTCCTCTCTATATCCCTTAGGATTTTTTTAAAACAACGATATATCGTTTCATAGCACTGAAAGGGTTAATACTTTTCATTGGTAACTAGTGCACCTGTTGCTCGAATTCGAGCAATTGCGAAGCATTACAGGGGGTTTTTTAAAACAAATTTTAACGGTCATAATTTCTGATGACTTTATAAAAGTCAACTCAAAGATTATGGAAATAATGACGATGTACACAACAGTTAGATATAACCAAAATTGTTTGTAAATATCTTATCTTTTTTTAAAAGCTGATCTTGTTTTTTAGAGTTTTCTACAAATGTTTCCCACTCATAGCCGCATTAGGTTCTCTATAATAACGATTATAAATTGAGAAAAAAAACATTATTTCTATTTCTTCTAATTCAGTTTTACTTTTAGTAGGCCTATATCAAATTGCCTAGGATTTCTCGCTTTTTTCCATTGTAATAATTACACCAACCCAAGTATCGTCTACAGATGCAATACGCCAAAGAACATCATCTACGTGCGTCGTGCAACACGCCTATGTACAATCTCCAAGAAGTAGTAAAAAAAGGCAGAAACCAACCCATACAATAGACATAAGTTAACTCCATAAGAAATAATTTTAAGAGTTACTGTGATATTAGGATTTTCCACTGATTTGGATTGCACATTATATCATTACAACATCATATTGCAAAACATTACACGATGCAGAAAAAAACTATTTTAAAATCAGAAAAAAACTTTTGAAAATACTTCATTCATTCTGACAAATTCAGTAAATCACAATTTAAATATTAATAGCTGTTTCATTAAAAAGTAGTGTAAAATTATACATATGGTCATAATGTAAACAAATCTGCTGAGGGGACTTAAAAGGCCTCTGGGGCAGAGCCCCAAGGGAATTTACCTCGTTTCTCTTTTGATGGCTCATCTACAGACCAAGACCTTTCTTTAGAGACCCCTACCAAGTTTCTACGCCCAGCCGTTCTCTGAAATTAGCTTTGACAAAATCCCGTTTTTCCCCCTTAAGAATAACATGGGATGGGAATTTAAAGGCCACTGGGGCAGAGCCCCAAGGGAATTTACCACGTTTCTCTTTTGATGGCTCATCTACAGACCAAGCCCTTTCTTTAGACACCTCTACCGAGTTTCTACGCCCAGCCGTTCTCTCAAATTAGCTGTCACAAAGAAAAACAGTTTCAAATTAATATATAGATTAATTACCGTATTTACATTGGGATATGATGTAATTTTGATATGTCTACTTACAGTATTTTTAACGCTGAATCCAAAAATGCAATCAGTTTTGGTCGGAGAGATTCTTAAGTGGCCGTACAGTTAAATAATTAATATTTTTGTAGATTTATTAACATATTTGTGGTATGTACGAGTCCAAGTTCTAGTGGCGTCTAACACTAAAAGGGGTGGAAGGTTTGTGGAGTGGAAACAGCTGTAAGTTGTTTACATTCAATATACATTCAATACTAAACAGACAAAACCACACACGACGCCATGAGAGCAAAATCAGAGTTACAATATGCAATAACTAGTTTTTTCAAAGAAAATGGACTTTGGTGCTGTTTAGAAAATACAATAAATCAACTACGATACATAAACTATTAATCACATGAACTTAAAATATAAAACAAAATAGAATTTATTCACGTAAAATATCAGTAATAGAAGCTAGGCCACTGCCGACATGATCATCGTCCTCATTCCAATCCTCAACCATTGGCTAATGCCTCAACACTCAACGTCTGGTAATGAACGTTCCGTAGTGCATAATGCCATAGTAAATAATCCCATTGTGTCTAAAAGTGAAAACGTGCCACAGTGCAGAATAAATGATGTTACATAATCTAATCTAATCTAATCTAACCTAACCCAACCCAACCTTAATATTAATATTTAAATCACAGTTTACGTCTGAAAAGGCATGTGAGGAAGAAAGGTCGGACTTTATGCGGATTCGTGACTATATTAAGTGTTTTGAAGTGAGGTTAGATTAGGAAGGTAAAGGTTAGGTTATAATGAACCGACTCATTAATCTATGCAACTTCCAGACTGTTTTTGCACAATTAAATAGTGGGTGAAACACAATGAAATAACGATATCAAAAATGCGCAAGCAAGCCTGGGGGTAGGGTTGAAACCCCTACAAAACCGATTCAGAGCCACTCTAACCACCTACCCCCAAGCTTCACCAGGAAACACACGAGCTATACCATGGAGTGTGTCTTCTGTCCCTTACTTCTCTGTGAAAAGTATTATTTGAAGAAGTCTGGTTTGCTGAGTGACTGATGGCTGTAATGCTTGCCTTCAAATCTGAGGGCCACTGATTCTAAGTTATTCCAAGCAAGATCGATCTAGCTGTCATTTGTCTTTAGCCAAAAATTAATGCTGAGTACCTTATCTAACAAAAGGCCACGTTAAGTTAGCTCTAGGTTACAAGGCTGTTACTGTTAGAACTATTCACCTACAAATGACTAGAGCTCACAAATCTAAACTTAGCTACTTCCGACTTAATAGGATTAGGTTTTTTAGCTTAAATTTTACCAGCTTTGTTTAAGTTAAGCTTATCTTAAGTTTATCCAAGAAAGTCAAAATCTTTATTCCATTAAGCAAAAAACAGGCAAATTGGACACGTCAACAATTTATTTTTCTAATATGTACAAGTAAGAAGTGCAATACAAAAGGCCTTAAAAGATTCAAGCAACAAAACACTCTGACTCAAAATTAAAACAGAGAGAAAAACAAAACAAAGCAGGGCGAAACCCATGCACAATCTGACAAAATCAAACAAGAAAGCTTCTACTTAAAATGACTACCTACAATGTTCTTGGAGATGGTGAAGAAATCATCTGCTCTGAGTGGATTTGCCAATAGAAGATCCCGGAGATTGTTTTTGAATTTTGGAAAAAATATGTCTTCAGGCTGAACAAACAATGTGATTTAAAAGTTTTAAACTCAGTTGGTCAGAGTTACATTTTATTTTATCCAACCTTACAAACGGGATTATCAATTTTATCTTTGTAGGCCTACCTGGTATTGTTAGCATAATTGAGGCGGTAGCTGCAAAAAGGGCCTTTATGCCAGAACAGTGATTTGAGAAAAACGAGTTCGAAAAAATGTCATTCTTGCATAAATATTGCATTTACTAAGAATCTAACTTGGAATACTTCTCCATATTCTTTAGAACCTGAAGCAAATTTTGTTACCATGGTTTTTTAATAACAATATCAGGCTATTAAGTATTTTTTGTTTATGTGAAATAGTGCATGGGCCCTTTTTGCATAGATGCAGTTTTTACATGCCCTTTTTGCATAGACCAATATTTATATGATCTGTTAAAGCATAAAATATGTGTTTTCTTAGGCAATTTCTAACAGTTTGATAAGAAAAATTTAAATTTAAAATGACATCTTACTGGCTCAGTAATTAAAAATAATAAAATCATAGTGTAACCTGTAAGAGAAAAAAAGGTAGGCTGCACAGTAAAATATGAGTCATAGTTGAAAATGTAACACTTTTATTTTATAATAAAAAAAGTGAGTCATAGGCTAGTTGGATATCTAATACTTTTATCTTTCAATGTCTCTACAATTTAATTTAATTTAATAACATCTGACTCTTCCTTATTTTCACTTTTCTTCTTAGCACCCTTCTTCTTAAAAGTGTCCAAAATAGTAGATTTAGTAGTTAGCATGATGTTAAAGAATAAAATAAACTGAATATTCCTATTGTTTGGTCACTAACACACTCCAAAACTGAACAAAACAAACATAATAACATTCATAACATACTATACATAACATTCAGTGTCATTAACCTCGATCTATGCAAGAAGGGCCTATACACAACTTTCTTATAACAGCTGTACAAAAAAAAATACTTCAGATTCAAATATGAAACTTTGCAGGTATACCAACAAACATGTGTAGAATTGAAAGAAACGTTCTCCGCAAAAAGGGCCTATGGATCCATAGGCCTTTATTGCAGCTACCTCCTCAATTATCACCTCTTCTTTGCAGGGATTCCAGATCTTTCTTGGCTTTAAAGACGGAATTAAAGAAATATACTGTGTAGGCCTACCGTCATTATACCTACATTTATAAAAATTGGTTTGCAATCGGCATCATTGTCAGCATCTCTAGTACTGCAAGATTTTGCTTGTATTAGAATCATTTCTATCCTGACCAGGTGTTAACTTTGAGCTGCCAGAGCAATAAACTTATCATCCGCGTGAATGAACTTTCTAGACTGAGTGACAGGAAGACCAATGAATGACTGGGAGCAATTAGAGACCCTGAAGCTAACCACCTACAACTTTTGAGCATCCTGAAAAGACAAGCCTTCTGGTATCGAATTGTGATCCAATAGAAAAAGAAATATTTTTCCACTCAGCCTAAGTTAATCTAGGTTTTTAAAGTAGCTTAGTCACGAAATGGTGATTGACTTATTCCTCTTAATTATTCAAAGATGAAAAATAAAAATAAACTAATGTCCCTGTTGTTCGAAATTGAGCAATTGCTAAGTATTACAGGCGTTATTTTAAAACAAATGGCAGTCATAATTTTTGATGACTTAAAAAGATTTGACTCAAAGATTATGGAATACTCAAGATGCACATAACAGATCGATATAATCAATATTTCTTATAAATATCTTATCATTTTTCAAAAGCTGATCTGTTTTTTAGTGTTTTCTACGAATAGCCTTACTCAAAGCCGCATCAGGTTGTCCATAATAACGATTATAAAATTAAAAAAAAAACACATTATTTCTATTTCTTCTCATTGGTGGTGTTCTATGACTTTCCTATTTTTATAATTTTCAAATCGGCTCTTTCAATGATTACTAAATAATGCAGCACAGTGCTAATTCAGTTTTCTTTTTAGTATATCAATTTATCCAGGCTCTCTAGTTTTTTCCCATTGTAATATTTACGCCAACCCAAATTCAATTAGTAGCCTAACTAATTTCATTTCAACCAAGTAAGTAAATGTTTGTAGCAAACTAACTGTTAAATTAGCAAACTTATTGACTGTTTACAATTAACATATGTTCTTCTTCTCACTTTTAATTTCTGACAACAGCTGGAGTTTCATAGCAATATTTGTTTCCCATGTTAATCTTATGGAGAAATACGGAAATTTAAAGGGCTTCAGGGCCTCACCCTCTAATTATTTCCCTAAAAAGAAAGTTTCCTGCACAACTTCACGTTACGCTCTTTCCAATGACACCAAGAACATGTAAATCGGTTCAGTAGTTTTGGAGGAGTAATTGTCACAAAAAACCTGCTTGCGTATTAAATAAGTATATAGAAGATATAGATGAAAATTTATTACAGTACCGGTACTACCAAATTACTATTATTTTGGCTCTTTCCTACTAGTGTTGCTGTGAGATAATGAAAAGTAACTAATGCCTTAGTATATCTGATGAATCCATCCTAATTGAATGATGTCTAAAAATAGGACCTGGATTTTGCAAGATGGTACAGGCAAGAAACAGCTTGTCTAGGTGGAAGGATTTGTCAAGGTTTGAGGATGAAGAAAATGAGTATAATAACAGTTACAGTAGTCTAACAACTATTAGTACACATAATAACATAGGTAACATAATAACATAGGTATTTAAAGGAATTTTAGATTGACAGCTTTCTTTACAAGGTCTGGTTTCCCTCCTTGCTTCACAATTAATTTTTAATCACTTAACAGTTTTTTTTTGCAGTTTTTGTGTACTATCGGTACTTTTCAGTTTATATTTTCATTAAAGCCAAAAGCCAGGATGTTACTCTAGGTTTATGTTTAAAAAATCTGAGCAAATTTCATTTACTGCGGCAGTTTTATATACTGGCCTAACCTTAGATGAATTTCTTCCTCCTTCATGTTAAAACTTATGGAACATTTTAGCAATGCTAGATCCCTCTTGTTAATTGCATGAAGCTCTTAGTTGTAGTTGACTCATTTGTCCGAAGGTTGGGCTTTTAGCTTAGACAGAGTAAAAATATGTTTGGTTGTGTCTCTGACTCTCTGGGTGTAGGCTGCTATACAGTTTGACTTATATTCTTCCTTCGGGTAGAGTTTCCTCGGGCGAGACCAAACTTTTTGACCGCTGCAGTTACAGGTTTTAAGTTTTAAATGGTATTCACTTATTTCTCACTCCTGATGTTCACAAGCCTTTGAAATGGAAGAGAGTTGTTCAAAGGTTTATTGCGGACATTTTCCATCACGAAACATGGAACACCTTTTATAGATTATAGTGTTTTGTGATTGGTTATTATTTGCATGGTGTATCATGACTTGACTGCTATACAGTGCATATTTTTTTACTGCTACCCTCTGTAGTGTATTCCAACTTAGGTTGGGCGTTTGTGTATTGTTAGTTGTAATGTGTTAGTTAAGTTTTTTTCACCTGAGGACGGGATCAGATTCCAGATCCCGAAACGTTGTGTATTGTTATTCTTTTGTGATGGAAAATGTCCGCAATAAACCTTTGAACAACATTAACTCACCATCACCAACAATGAACTTCAAACAAAGGAAGAGAGTTAGAGCCGTGCTGGTTGACAGCATTGAGGTTGTTTACACTCAGTAGTCCTATTTATTTCCACAAACAAGTGCTTTCTTTGATCAAGAAAATGTATGTTTGTTTATGCCTTACAAAAAGTAATACTATATTTTTTTAATTGACATTAATTATTAAATCAGCTTAAAGATTAGTCAAATGCATACTTAGTCATAACTGTTAAAAAAATACACATTTAGAAACATTGTTGTAATATGTACCAAATATCTTTGCAGATCAATAATTATGCTGTGCTCTCGTTTACTTCAGAAAGCAATACTATCACCATCATTCAACCATGGGTATTATTCTGCTAAACACAGTATTAAGGTATGTAGATATGTTAGATATGTTAAATCTAGCAAACAAGTACAGAAGGGTCTCAACAATTGTCTCGATCTTGTCAAGTACACCAAAAAAGATATCAGTTTGACTCAACAAAATTGCCTTAATTTGAACAATAAGTATACATTAGAAAGAAGAACATAAAAACACATTACCGCACATACAGAGTTTATAGTTTTGAGTGAAAAACATTCACAAAGAGTGGCTATAAACATAACTTTAAAACCACTAAAGAATTACACGGCCCTTGTCTATATCAATAAAAGGTTAAATTACCTGTGTCCGCTGGTCGGTCCTGAAGTATCCTATTACAGTGACTGATGATGGCGATTTAACTTCACCAACATGCATATCATGTAATAGGATACTTCAGGATCGACCGGCGGACACAGGTAATTTAACCTTTTATTGATTGTCAACCGATCCGGAACCACAACAAACAACATAAAATGAAGCCCTTGTCCAGAGGTGCCCATCCCCCCCAAACCCAGAGGCGCAAACCCCCCCCCCCCAAACCAAAGGAGTAGTCCCCCCCAATTTATGCTGCTGTCTATTAAACCTACCCTCCACCTGCCAATTTATCTGGCAATTTCCCCTTTACCTCATAGAACGAGCATTTCAAGTATTTAGTAAACTTGAGGTAAAGAAAAACAAACTTGCTGATAATCAATATTAAATGTTTAATAGGAAACATCATTTAACAATACATCATTATATCTAACTAATGGACAAATTATAAGTTTTTCAATTTACAATTCAGAAACTGTATTGTCAGCCAACATGTGCTCAGTATTGCAAAAGACAACGTCTTTAAAACGTTCAACAATATACTTGGTGAATTACTCTACTCCAACATAATACTGTAACTGTACAATATATTAATTTTTTTTGGTGGCGTTAATTTTTACAGGGCTTAAGAATTCAAACAGCTTTAAGAGCATTAATAATACTTTGGCAAAAAGTATCTTGTTTCAAAATGATAGGAAGAGAGAAAGTCACTAAATAGGGCAAACTTGTTGCTCGCCACTCCCAGGCTGCCTTCTACAAAAATCGCCGGGCAAAATACACACAATACCTTAATTGCCACCAGCACAAAAGTTTTTTGTGACAAAGTAATCTTATAATTCATTTGGTAGCCCCAGGATTGCCTTTTATAACTAATAGTGGTAGAAACGCATCTTGTCAGACAATCCTTAATAATAGATGTACGGTAGTGTCGTATTTTACTTGCTACATATGTTTTGGAGGTTCTTTAACATATTTAGACTTACATATGTAACATCCACCATCGTCAGACTTACAAAAGGATCGACTTCTGGAGGTGTCGTCAGAGTATGTTACAAACATTTAACGCAAAACACAAAAGGATTACAGATAGGCCTATCAATTCATGCGAGTACATTGAGTAAATGATGGTATCGAAATTCTACATTACTGCGCGAAAAGAAATTTATTAAATACTTTGGAAGAGTTTGAAATACCAGTATAAATAAATAAAACTAGGGACAGCACACAATTTGTGAGTGAAAACACTCAATTAATTATGAATCCCGTTATATTTTCAACACTCTTCTCAGTCACTACAACAATAGTCCAATATCAGCTGTTGAAAACGCACAAAACAGATGACAATCCAGAGACCACGTCGGTCCGTCATAACCTGAACTGATTCAGTTCATTGATAGGCATTTCTGTAATCGTTTTGTGTTTTGTGTTATATGTTTGTAACGTATTCTGACGACACCTCCAGAAGTGGATCTTTTTGTAAGACTGATGATGGTGGAGTTAAAGAACCACCAAAACATATGTAGCAAGTAGCAAGTAAAATTCAGTGAACACAGAATAAAGAAGTCGACACTAGTACATATTAAGGATTGTCTGATAAGGTGCGTTTTACCATTCTTAGAAGCAATCTTAATTACGAATGGCAGAATGTTGTTGGTGTTGATAGTGAGCTACTGTACTTAGAAACACTTTTTCAGTCTGATTATACAAAATTCTACATTCATTGTGACAGCTAACAAAAAAACACCCCCCCCCCAAATCCTCCTAAAAAAGTCCCCCCCCCCAAAAATTCCTGTGGCGCAAACGCGCCACGGTCCCCGCCCCCTCTGGGCACCCCTGCCCTTGTCTAATCTAAATATTCTGAAGAACCACGCCGTGGCTAATAAGGCTGGCTAATTTGCAATTTTTGTATAACATTTTATAAGTTTATATCTTGTCAGAAAACCTAGTAAAATCATGTTACCACATTAATGAGTGCCATTTAGTACAGGTTCGCTCATTAGATAATAATTTAGAATACTATTTTACAAATTTAGGCCTACTGTTGCTTGAGTTTGGCCTAGATAACTAAGACTTATGATTCAAAGCACCTAAAACCACAAACCTTTACTAATTTGTTGGTACAGTTGTACCTACTAATCTAAGCGAAAGTAAATACTAATGTTTGTGTGCAGGCAATATCAACTGGGAGATTATCTGTGGCTGGATTATCTGGATTGAAAACATGTGGATGTTCACTAACAAATAGTGCAAAAAGTATATCCAAGGTAGGTCTATTCTTACTGCTTCTTGTCCATATGCAAAATACATAGTCGTTGAAGAACTACGTTGAGTAAAATGCAGATTATATTCAACATGATCAAGGGTTCTAACAATGACATGGTCCTTCCCTATGCTCTACCAAAACTATAATCTCAAACGGTCTTGTTTTCCACATCCTGTGGAACGAGATATTTCATCATTGTAGATGTTATCTTCCAGATTGGCAAATAATAATAAACAGATTTAAATACCTGGGTAAAAACTTAAAACATAGCAATTGCTGTCCCCTATATCTGAAAAAATTAATACTCACCTATTGTAATTAGCCTGTCTATCTATCTATATATTAATAGGCAAGCATGTTTCTTTAAAACCTTTTTTCTCAGCTCGTGTGCATCGTAGGGAAAATCTACGCATACCGTTGGAAAGCTATTTTCCTGTAGGTGTGCAGAATCCCTTTATAAATTTAAATAGGCTCAAAGATAAGCACAAAAAATGAGTTTAAAAATTTGAAAAAATTAACATGGATCTTATGCGTTGCTATGCTGGTTACGAAATAACAACGAAATATAAACAGAAAATCAAAACAAATGGAGGAAACTCCAATCACATGTTTTATTTACAGTGTGGGGTGAAAATAGATAAGTGAGTACATTACATATTTTTGGTCGAGTTTCGACCACTGGACGACCTCTCGTTTTTTTCTAATGTTTAGCCTTTGTAGTTCATAAAACTGATCTTATTATCTCTAAAATTAATTAATAACTTTTATTAGTGCTAGAAGAGAAATCACACAAGAGAGGTCACACAAACAATTCTAAGTTTTGACAAGGATATCTACAATGAATTATGCAAATTATGATTCCAATAGATTTTTAGATACCCAATAATACCAAAGTGTGAGAAATGTGGTTGCTATAAATATACAAGATGTAAAAAAACCCAAATAAAACTCTAAAAAAATTGCGGTAATGATTTCAGGATCCTTCTATATTCTATATCTAACTCAATACAAATTATAGGCTACAATATTTTTTTCTTTAAACAATATACTGAAAAGTATAATTTTTTACTTAAAAATTACCATTAAAGTTAGTGATTTTATTTATATGCCAACAAACACCTTGTGACGCACCATTTCAAGAGTGACCCAAATTACAAGTAATGTAGGTCACGTGACTGACATTACACGTAATGCAGGTAACGTGACTGACATTACACAGTGACTCAAACGCATAAATGGGGAACATCTATGTATTAAACAAAACTTGTCTTATCCTTCATTATAAAAGTGTCACCTTTTCGTTATTATCGTCTTCTAATAACCGGTCACATAACACTAGGTGAGGTTCGTAATTTTCTCACAAACCTCGTAGCCAAATTCTTGCCGCCCACATTGTTGTATAATCCAGCCCATCATCAGAATAGGTCAAGTAAAGAAAGTAAACAGAAATAATTTTCAATTATATTGTGGGTTACTAAAAAATTAATTCTCGACATTGAAAACTCATAAGAGAAGTAATTTGGGTCCCACAATTCACCGAAAGTAATGTAGGTCACACATCAGATCCTCAGATTTTGTGACCCAAATTACAGTGACCGACATTAGCATTTTCACTCTCGTCATTTACTAAAATGGAACATAGAGGCGTTGGTTCCCTTTGCTGGCCTTAAGTTTGGTTAAGTATGCGTTTGACTTACATTTTCTTAGTTTTAAATAAGTTATTTGCCTTATTGTAACAGTTATTATCTGTACCGATCATTACACAAAAACTTAACGCTTTCAAAACAGATTTTAAATAAAGACTTTCCGAATAAACTGGAAAGCCTGGCATAACATCACGCCTAACCTACTTCACCCACAGTCAACAACGAACTGAGAGAGGCCGAAATATTGATCCGCCCGGAGTCGATTGAGTTGAAAGACCTGACGAGAACTGGTTCCGACCCTCAAACCCAGCATTACATTCACAGCCAGGGACGCGACTTTTAACTTTTAACGATTGTTATTGCTAGTATAATTTCATTAAAAAGCCTGTTTGGTAATTTTTGTCAATATTTTAACATTATAAATTAATTCAAACTGTTGGATATCATTTTGTTTAGTATATTTTTATTTCAACACATACTTTCCATTGCCCTGAGCTTTGGTTTCACCATTTTATCTTTCAACCCATGTCCGGCTTATCGGAAAGAAACTTCCCGACCTTTGTAGTTTTCCATCGTACGATGTTTGGCCGCGGCACAGTCCGCTGCTACTCCTCTCAACAATAAGTCACTTTTTCATGCAGCAATACGCTCACCGTTATACCATTCTATCTATAACCTTCTATATTTCTTTTCAAAATCAAATTCAACCCTCATTAGGCCATAAAAGATCGTTTTTGTTTTGCTTTTATAACAAGAAGTGAATTTTAAGTTTATTTTTGTGTACATAAACTATTTCTAAAGACTTTAAAAAGTGTGCAGTGTAATCCTGGACAGGACGAAATGACACCATCAGGTGGGGTACCCCAGCCGTGAACAACTTTCATCATCTACAAGGTCGGTGGAAATCTATTTTTCAATATAATAGAAGCTGAAATTAGTCATTATAGAATTGAACTATTTCAATCTCATTTAATAAAAAAAAACCATCTTTTGAAAATAAGCTAATTATTTCTGGGTAGGCCTAAGAGCTCATTGCTCACGTTTTTATTCTATCACACAAACCAAATATTTAAAATTTATTGCCTTAATATTACTGAAAATATAAGCTTATGTATCCAACTTCTTACCTAGGGGGAGACAGGGGTTTTCACTAAATATACCCATTTTGGAACTTTTCAAACACTTCATTTTGTGTTGTTTGTTGTTGTTCCGGATCGGTATGACATACAATAAAAGGTTAAATTACCTGTGTCCGCCTGTCGATCCTTATTTGCTGTGTCCTATTATAGGAGATGCATTTCGGCAGAATAAATTGCCATCATCAGTCCTACTTTAAGTCCTTGATCTTCCCCATTGGGTGTGTCTTGAAGTTTTGAAACACGTACACGAACGATATTACACTGAGATACATCACAATTAAAACATAAAAACACACGGTAGGCCTACTTTTATTTGAGCTATTACGGACATGTAGACGCGCGTCAGTCGTGTGTCGAGTCTCTATTGGGGTCAGAAATTACTTGCAGAGTTGACCTTTGTCCTGTCTCTGTCCTTTGTAGCTACAGGTGGCGTTTCATTCAACTTTAACAATTCTTCGAATAATATGTCGGATTGTAGTGTACTTTTATCATTCAGGAGGTTGTGGGGGGTGGTTTTAGATGCTCTATAAATTTCATATTGCTCTAGTGATGTCATTACTCGACTTTTTCTACAAATGTGTAAAGGTTTTAAATTTTCATTCAGGCTGGAATAACTGTGATTGCTGTCAATTAGGTGTTCGGCAAAATTGGATTGTTGTGTTAAACTATTTTTGGGAAGGTGTTCTTTAAACCTCTTAATAAATGGTCTGCCAGTCTGTCCAATATAGAATTTATTACAGTCACTGCATGTTATTTTGTATACTCCGGATTTATCACTCAGGTTTTTAACATTTTGTTGGGTTTTAGGTTTAAGGAGATTTTGGACTTTATTAGATGTTCTAAACGCTACAGTTTTTCCGTGTGGGGGGTTTTTTTCAAACACACTTTTCTTTACTACATAGTATTAAAATCGAGAAACATAAAAAAATTTTATTCAAAGTTATAATAAATTACTTTAAAACTATTTGGAGCAGAAATAAATAGCGGAAGAGGTATAAATAGCTGGAGACAGCAATTGTCCTGTTTTCAAGTTTTTACCCACCTGCTATTAAGTAATCCATTCAATTGCAGTTGCAACTAGTTTCGCCTACTATTTAGAGCCATCTTCAGGCGGTACAAGGAAGTTTCCTGTCTTCATATAAAGAGCGTCATATTTGACTCATAAATAAATATAAATTTACACACAACACAATACGAACACGGAAAAAAATGTAAGGTTGAGTAACTGAACACTTATCACCAATGACACTAACCTGGTGGAGTTGAGTTCAGACTGCGGGTGGTCAGTGCAGTAGGTGTACGTCCGTTATCTAGAAGATGCTTAAAATAAACTACTATTTTAAAAACATTTAGAATAATTGAATAATATGCATCATGTTCAACAAAACAACGTTCAGTTCAAAATTGAACTACAGGTCAGCAGAAAGATATGTTTTAAGAAGAAAACCCCAAAAATGTGAAAAGTTTAATGGAATCCCATCATAAGGAAGATGTTATTAAATGTTCAAATAAATTCTTTAAGAGAGTCGTAAATAATACGGAAATTGAATTTGATAAAAAGGAATTGAGTTTTTTAAACAAAGGGTTGAGTTTCAATTTTTAGTAAGAAAAAAAGTTTAGTCTATGAGCTGTTAGACACTGAGACTTAAATGAAGCAAATGAAATCTAACGAAGTAGGCTATGAGAAGTCACTAGAATTCTCATGGGCAATAAAGCAAGATGCATTGCAAAAACTGTCCCATGTACAGGGAAACACAGGAAGCTTAATGCCATGAGAGGGTCCTAGTGAGCCTCAAGCACAAGCTTGCTGACCACAACGCTCTTATCACGAAGGCCGATAAGGGCAAGGGATTGAGAACACCGTTATGTCACATAATAAATAGCTTGTTTGCTGAGGGAAAGTTTCCTAGCCAGCTAAAGTTGTCTTTAGTAAGACCAATCTTTAACAGCGGAGATAGAAGTTCTTGCCATAACTACAGGCCTGCAAGTCTAGTATCGACGTTCTCAAAGGCCTTTGAGAAAGCAGTAATAAGTAGACTGTGTGATTTCCTAGAGAAACACAACATATTAGTTCGAAACCAATACGGATTTGTAAAGAACAGTTCCACAACAAATGCCATACTCAGCCTCATAAATAAAGTAGTCGAAGATATTGATGCGGGACAGTCTGTGGCCGGCATGTTCATTGACTTGAGTTGTGCTTTTGACTTAGTTTACCATGGTCTACTTCTGAGAAAAATCTATGATGCTGGCATTAGAGGCATTGCTCTTGATTGGTTCGAACATCATACCTCGAAGGAAGAAAACAGTATGTAGCAATCCCTGCCATTGATGAAACAGGTCTTCTAAAGTACTGTATCATCATTCTTCTTAGGCCTCAGTCACAAGACGTGTGCCCCAGAGTTCCGACCTAGGACCGACCTTATTCCTTCTATTTATAAACAACTTGCCCACTTGCGCAAACAAGGCAAACATTTGTCTGTTTGCGGATGATACATCTCTTACTGTCTCCAGTCATTCCACAGAAACACTTGAACAATCCATTTTTCTTGAATCTAGTAGCCTGCTCCAACGGTGTGAGGATAATCATCTTGTCCTCAATGCTAAAAAAACCCAACTTCTCCAATTTAGTATTTCAAACCAGCAAACCAAGAACATTTAGGTTACTGTTGGGGTGAAAATGAGATCCATCCCTGTCAAAAGGTTAAGTTTCTTGGTTTGATCCTTGATGAAAGTCTTAACCACCACAAACATATCAAACATGTCACAACAAAAATATCAGTAGGTATTTCCATGCTTCGTATGCTTAGCCAAACAGTAAATTCAGAAGTCCTACTGTCTACTTACTATGGTCTATATTTGTCCTATGCTGTCCCTGTCTGGGGTAGTGAAAGCCAAAAGACTAAGTTTCTTTTCCAACATCAATTGAAGGCCATCCACATTGTATTTTCCCTACCCAAACATCTTATTTTTGTTCACAGCTCATCAACAGATATCCATTTCGTAATTCTTCCGACCTTGCAATTCCTAATCACTCAACGTCATTCTTCCAAAAGAATTATCAATACAATGCTGTCAAGCTTTTTAATAACCTTCCTCCTTCTCTAAGGACAGAACAGGATTTAAACACACAGGATTTAAATAAATATCAGGAAAGGCTAAAGAATTGTTTGCTGGATAATGCCTTCTGCAGCGTTCGTGAGTTTTTTTGCCCTAGAACTGGTAGTGTAAATACTGTAGCATAGTTGACAGTTTTAGTTGTCAGCACATTTAGGACAAATAACACGAAACATTTAAGTATTTACAATAAAAAACTTGGCCAAGTAGTCCGAACACAAGTTGCGTACATGACTCATCATCTACTGGTTACTCAACTCGTGTTCGGACTACTTGGCCAAGTTTTTTATTGTAAATACTTAAATGTTTCGTATGTGTTTCGTGTTATGTGTCCTAAATGTGCTGACGACTCCATCCACGGATGAGAAGACCATATTTTAACGTTCCTACAACCTGAAGATGTGTTCGCTTAGCTGCACGAAACGCCCGTGTAGTTATTTTATAACTTAAGGATCAATCGACGCAACAGGTAAATTAAACCTTTTATATTTGCATTATCTTGATCCAGAGGCTAACCCATCATGAAATAAATAAATAATAAAAAGTATATAGGAAGGAAAAAAGAAAGTTCAGAGAGAACTTCGCGAGCTATGGGGATGGAGGAGGCTGGGTTTTCTTTTTTAATTCCTTATCTTGAATAATGCACCATATTTTTTGTAAAATTGATTACTACATTGTTATCTTTTAAACATATTTCAATATTTTCTGTGAAATAACTTGTCCAAGCAGTATTATTCGTGTGTGTTTGTTATATTATAATTTTCGAGTAAAGTTTGTGAGTCATGGAAATCAATGGTAAATTATCATGGATAGTCATGGAAATTATTGAAAAATTTGCTGTGGACACCCTGTAATAGAATTTGATTTAATAACATATTATAATTTTTAGTATTGAAATGAATTGTAATTTAAACTTAAGTAATAATAAACTGTAAACATAAACATTGGTTAATAAATTTTGATTGACTTGTTTGGAATAATTGAAATATAACACAATGTATTATTGTTATATAATATATAATTGAAATAATGAAAACTAATACAGCCACTTTAAGGTAAAAAAATCAGGGTAAAAGTTTGTTTTCCTGATCCTAAGGATTGTTTTCAATTCAAATGTTCACTTAGCTTGGAGAATCTGTATTAAGATAATTAGATCACTAGCTTAGGCACATGCTTACAGCTAATTTTCTCTCATTGAAAAAACGTGAACGTTGTGATGAAACTAAGGTGGTATAGTCGAGACCGCAAAATACGCTCGCGAGTGTTGCCGCGATCGCAAAAGACGATCACATTATTGCTGAGACCGCAACATTTACTTACGGTTATTGCGGCGACCATGATTGACGATCGGTATTGTCAAGACCGGAAAATATGCTAGCGTGTGTTGCCGTGATCGCGAATGATGATCTCGTTGTTACCGATACAGGAACATTTACTAATGGTTTTTGCTGTGACCTTGAGTGAGGACCAAGATATCGCCAAGTTTCCGCGATCGTTTATGACGATCACGATATCACTGAGACTGAAACATCTACTTACAGGCGTTGTTGCAATTTTGACAATCAACGATTTTTACTACTGTAATTATATAAAAACTTATTTCCTATGAGACATTGCAGTCTGGATAAAATCTGTTTGCAGGCCAGATGTGGCCTGCGGGCCGTAGGTCGGAGACCCCTGGTGTACTGCATCTTATATATTACAGAGCTAAACCAGTTACCAAATACTTTTGGTTCTTTGAGCTCATTTGCTGAAATTTATATTAGCCACCATTCCTATACCAACTTAAACTCTCAATATAATTATCTGTGTTTAACATTTTTCTAGATTTTCTCAAGAAAGTCAATCACAGTAGCAGCATCGCCTTTTCAGCCGATACCTCGCACTCAGAAGATTGTTGGATATTGGCTGGCAGGATGTAGTGGAATGGTATTCTGTGCTGTTATACTTGGTAAATAAGCAATATTACTTTATTTTTAAAGAGCAATTCAAAAAGTTAATCTTTGGTTTGAGTGACAAACAAACCATGTCTGATATACAGATGAACAGTAGGCCCTTAGAGGTGATTTCAAAATCCTTGTGACTGTGTCGCAAGTAGATAATGCAAGTAGAGCCTTGGTTATCCAACCTTCCGAGTTATGTGAAAGCAAAAGCATAAGTTAACATTCGTAAGAAATACCTTTAAATCCTTACATAAATTGTTTTTGGACAAATCTTACTATAGCATTGATGTATTTTTCTGGATGATTTTAAACGGTAGGTTGTGACACTTTTTAAGAGAGATCCCTTAGTTTATTTTTTGCTGTAGTTAAATTATATACAGGACAATAGCCTATATCCTGTCCTGATACAGACCAGACTGGTATTTTATCATGTAGTTTAAATTCAAATTTTTTAATTTGAATCTGATCTTTCTGAGTAATAATTGGTCACATCTCCCAACATCTCCCGCGATCACAACACATTGTCAACATTGCTCGCGGCAAGATTGTCAACACATCCCACAGTCACAGCACCAGGCGTGAAGATCGTCCCCGATCACGGCGCCATGTCTTGCGGTTACGGCGCCATCTTGAACAACTTCCATTTTAAATTGCCTATATTTTTCTTAAAAATTCAGATACCTCTAGGGCCTACTCTGATTAAAATTTTGCATTTCTTATGAGCCAAGTTTTACTTTGATATGCAATATTACAACATAAAAAAACAAAATATTTCAAAAATATACATTTTTTTAATGATTACTTAGCGAAAACATGAACATTTCAAATAGCATTACTACTATTAGCCGCTCCCTTCAGGAAATGGCTGTTAATTGACGCCATTACCCATAGTATTACAAATGTGTTAGTTTGTTGATTTGTTTGTGTACTTTATTTTTACTTTCTCCCCCTATACCATAGTATATGGAGAAAGTATTGTTTTCGTCAAAATTTTCGAGTTTGAGTTTTGAGTGGATATATTCGTTTTGGGTCCCCCTGGACCCAAAAAAGTGGTTTTCGAAGTGATGTCTGTGTGTGTGTGTGTGTGTGTGTGTGTGTGTGTGTGTGTGTGTCTGTGTGTCTGGATGTGTACAGAGCTAGAGACTACACCTGTGGTCCGATTTCGATGAAATTTGGTATGTAGGTTTTAATCTATGGTATCTCCAGGCGTTTTTTTCATTTTTTCGAAGTTTTTATTTTTAATGGGGATTTTCTCATAAAAACCCATAAAAAACTGGAAAAATCGGATTTTCTCAAAAATGGCCCGAACGATTTTGATAAAAATTTAGTATGTTGTACCCCTTTAAATTCTGAACAAAATGGTACAAATCCCATATCTGTAAAAATTACGGTTCAAAAGTTATGGTCAAATATGTTATTTCCCCATAAAACCCCCATAAAATAACGAAAAATAGGATTTTAGAAAAAAAATACGGTTTTGATTTAACATAGTATGTTATAGTCATTACAATTTTGATAGTTTTTTTTAATTTTGTAGAAATTTTTATTTTTAATAGGGATTTTCCCATAAAACCCCATAAAAAAACGGAAAAATAGGATTTTAACAAAAATGGCCCGAACGATTTTGATAAAAATTTAGTATGTCATAGTCCTTTAAATTCTGAATAAAATGGTACAAATCCCATTTCTGTAAAAATTACGGTTCAAAAGTTATTGTAAATTATGTCATTTTCCCATAAAATTCCAATTAAATAACAGAAAAATAGGATTACCTCAAAAATGGCCCGAACGATTTTGATAAAGATTTAACATGTTTAACATGTCCTTTAAGTTTTGAACAAAATTGTACAAATCCCATTTCCGTATATTTACTCTCACCGCTTACACATGATAAAGGTTGTTGACAAACTTATGGGAGAAAGTATGTGTCAGAATGCTGATACCGTTTATTTTATCTTACAACTGTAAAGTGAATTGTAAAACCGCAAATGCTGGTTTACTGGTCTGTTTTGCAGGAGGAGTTACAAGACTGACGGAATCTGGGCTCTCTATGGTGACTTGGAGGCTACTGGGCGAGAATCTACCAACTACACAACAGCAGTGGGTTGAAGAGTTCCACAGATATCAACAGTTTCCTGAATTCCAAATAAAAAACAAAGACATCACATTGGAGGAGTTTAAATTCATCTGGTGGATGGAGTATGCCCATAGACAGTGGGGGAGACTCATCGGTGCAGCTTTCTTTATTCCCGCCACTGTATTTTGGACTAGAGGCTGGTTCAATCCTTTGTTTAAAAAACGAGTACTAGCGTTTGGCACCCTGATAGGATTACAGGTATTGTCAAAATTTAAACATTTATTATTTTATTTAAGGACATAAGTACCAGGGGATTGAGCATTGATCTTGGTGTTTAATTCGTTTGATAGGTTAAAAAACGGTATCAGCATTCTGACACATACTTTCTCCCATTAGCTTGTCAACAACCTTTATCATGGGTAGGCGGTGGGAGTTTACCTGTAATATTTTATAGGAAAAATCACAAAAGTCGTAATAACTTTTAAACCGTAAATTTTTCAGCAATGGGGGTTATACCATTTTGTTCAAAATGTAAAGGGATATAACATACAAAAGTTTTATCAAAATCGTTCAGGCCATTTTTTAAAAAATCCAATTTTTCCGTTATTTTGTGGAAAAATCAAAATGAAAAAAAAACACCAGGAGATACCATGGATTAGAACCTACACACCAAATTTCAAAATCAGACCACAGGTGTAGTCCCTAGCTCTGTACACATCCAGACACACACATACGGGGTTTTACCGAATACTCGCAAACACCTAATTGTGGCATCTTTCAACCTGCGGCCACCAGTGGATGAAGGAAGGTGGTAGAAACATGTCTGCATCGATATTTTTAATGAACACTCCATTTTAACATCTAACATTCCAGTTTTTAAATTGTGGCACCATGCCACAAATCGGTATATATCAACAGTGTGTGGACAGGATGCCACTAATGCGTTGTAGTGCTTGAGCGGTGTGTGCGCCCCCCCTACTTCTCGCGTGCGCTGTTGCCAGTTCTCCGTTCTAGTTCCTTCATTCCGTTCTGTATTCATGTGGCTATGCCCTAGCCGCTGTAGCTCATTTCCCGCGCTCATGACGTCGTCTTTTATTAGTGTAAGGATTTTATATGAAGTTTTTTTCAAAGCTCCAATAATTTTTACAATTATTGGATTTAAAGTCAATGGACCAAATGAAATGTCGTGAGGATTACATAAAACTACATGCTATTTTGTTGATATTTTATCGTCACATTGTATGTATGGTTTACGAGCTGAGATACTTGGAATAAAGGCCTTAATGTGCTGGGTAAATTATCAGTTTCATGGGAATCTATATATTAATTACGTAAGCCGATTCTTTGCGTCAAAATTGTGGGCGACTGGGAAGTCGTAGAATGACGTGAGAGGGCTCAAATTAAAGGTCTTTATCCCGTGACGGCGGGAAAAATAGTGAAATTCCCAAAATCTTAACACAAAATTAGATATAACGTACAATGTTCTCCATAAGAATAGCATTAGAAGGCATTTACTGCTGATTTTTGTTTACTTCAATCCAGCTGATCGTGATTTTATCATTAGCATGTAAGCTTACATTTGGATTACTCATTTGCCAGTCAATTCTGCAATGTAATGTATACTATATAAAACCAACTATATAAAGGGATAACGTTACCTTTAATAATCAAGACTTTTTAGTTATGTCAAAGTTGAAATAAATTGTTTTCAAGATTTAAGAAACGATTCAAGATTAAAAGAAGATCTTCTTTGTTTTTATTTCAAAACATATGTAAAAGATTTATTCCAATTTTTTTTTTAATTTACTAACATTTATATTTGAGATTTATTGTAGTGTTTAATCAATATTTTGTATGAAGTGGAATAACCTCAACGGTTACTCTTAGAAAACAATTTGGGAATAGAGATGAAGTAGGTTCGTACAGGTATTTAAACGAACCAAAAATATTTATGTCGTGATTAGTTTCGATAACTGGGTAATGGAACCCTAACTAGCCGCAAAATAGTTGGTAATTAGACGTTGACTAGGCCCTTTTTTGGTAGAATATGTAAATCAATCGCACCTTTAGGAGGATTAACACCACATACTTACACTAGGCTAATAGTGGTTTTTTAATGTTGATCACAAACAAATTTAGGTCCAAGTTCTGTCAATGGGATGCCTTTACTTAAGAATAATTTTGTTAAACCTTTACAAAATGAGCATAGACTTAGAAATAATAACTGGGTAGGGTATCTCAACACACCATTTTTTGCCTTTTCTTATTTGACGAAGACAATTTCCAATACTGTATTTCAATCGGGGAAGCCTTGTTATCAGCATTAAACAAAAAACCAAAGCTACCTTAATAAACCAATAGTTATTCATAAACATGTTTGCTGCCTTTAGCAGTTAAACTCAGGAATCATTCAAATTCTTTATTGAACATAACGTTATCAACAAAAGCAAACAAAGACAAACAACAAACTGTTTTGTTTTTTTTGCACAAAAGATATGTTGTAGTGGGATATCTAGGCCTATCCTGACATATAGATAATTTGATTCTGAGTTTGTTTAAATATTCCAACAATAATTCCTTTTCCGTAGCTTTTTAGGGACTATGTCCCTACAAGCCACTAGTTTACATTAAAATACGCAATAAGTATGACTCCGTTTTTTCTGTATGCATATAATTAATTCATGGTAATGTAAAAGTATGCGTAACGAATTTTTCACCTCACTATGATGTTTTTAGCTGTTTTACATACATTTAGCTGGTTTATATTGGTGGCTGAAAGTTACGTTTTGCTTGCCATGCCAGCTGTCATCGTCATATGGGGACCGAGCAGGGGTTTACATCCCTAGGGCCGCAAAATCACTTGTTCGCCTATTTACTTAAAACATTAATGTATATTAAATGCACAAGCTGTATCCATGGCATTGCAATAGACTTGTTTTTTGTCACAGTTGCCTAGACAACTATTTATTGTTATTTTTGATTTTGCTGATTTCTCAAAATATTTCACATAAATAAGAGGGACGTTATATTGCAAAACATACTTGGGTAAAAAAAACCGCTCGTACCACGAGCCAAAATGGGTTTGCAGCTCTCGATCGTTTCACGTTCTCGACTTCGTCCCGAACTTAAAACCCGATATCGAGTCGGCAAAACCTCACTTTAGGCCCTAGGTACGAAATATACTATTTTTTTACGGTGGAATTAGAGACCCAAAGATTCTCACCCCGTTGCGAAGCACGGGCAGAAACACTATAGTTAATTATAAGATTATAAAGTCTTTACTGTTTTGTCTGTACATTGCGTAGATTCATGAAGTGTTTGGTTATTTCTACGTTTTATATAATAAGAAAGCCGAAACGAGTCTTATGTCAATATCTGTACGTTTGTTTGATTGTTACTGTCATTGTGCCTGTAACGCCAAAATTCCAATTCACGAGTCCTACCTTGGGAAAACTAGAGTAGCGTTCATAATTTTAAATAGTTTTGTAATTGTTTAAATAAATTTGCCAAGTTTAATCAAAATATATCCATAAACAAGCAAACTACAACATTTTACAATATTCATTATAAGAATAACATGGGAATTTTAAATTTACAATTTTTGAATTTGTCCTGTTACCAATAACCGTACAAAAACACTTTGATATACTAAATTTTCTGTTTTCTAAGCTATTTAAAAAGGTCTGGATATAAATTGGGAAATTTTGTATTTTTAAGGTAACGTTTCTCTCCATTTCATATATTAGTAACAATATGTATAGTATCAAATTCAGTAATAACATTGACTACTGTATTTAAACCTTAACACAAGTGTTTATATATTCATTGAGGCTACTGGTGCTACCGCTGATGGCTTATGCATGTGTACGTTAGTAGCTAGCAGACAATTTGCCAACTAGGAACATGAAATCAGCTGTTCCCCGTCCTCACTGTCGCGGTTGCTCGCCTAGCATGTCAACAGCTGACTGCTGTAAAAATTGGATGAGGCGACAGTAACTTTTTCTAGTACGCTTCTTTACCATGGCATCTGCTAATTCAATTTTGTCCCAAAAATGTATACACATCTCTAAGATTTGTTGCCAACTAACAAGCAATTTAAATAAAAAAAAAAAAAAAAAAAAACTATTGTTAATCATCCTGCAAAACTGCTAATAATTCATGATCAAATTTTCATCAGAATTCCGTTAGTTTAAATCAACGATCACATAAGACCAATAGATGGAGCACATCTATATAACTAACATACAAGCAGTTGAAGCCAGGTCCGCCATCTTAGTGCAGGTTAGAAGTGGTAGATGCCAATGAAAACGGCACCAAAACTCAATGTCCAGCTTCAAAATAACTTGACATTTAGACTAAAGGTAAATCGTTGACACTTCGTGTGAAAGATGTCAATTAGTCTAGGACACTATTGGTTCTAATTAAAAGCTCAAAAGTTTATATTTTCTATTTTAAATCTTGAAATAAAATCGGTACTTTTAAATGAGTTTTTAAATATGACATAACAAAGTTCGTCGGCTGCTACTGTTTTTATTTCTTCGTCAGGTAAGTAAAAAAACGGTGGATTTTGTAACTAAAGAGCTCAATTTCTTGGATAATATTTTTTTTTTAATTTTTATAAAGGAGAGTTGTATAAAGAGTTTCAGAAACCATCTTGTGACTTTGAAAATTTTTACATTGTAAACCAAACGCTAAACCTTTAACACACTTTAATAAGATATAGATACATATATTATAAATTAATTTTATAATATATGTAAATTAATTAATTTTTAGAATTTTTCTTTCGCCCAACAAGTTTTTGTAATTATTGTTAACTAACTTTTTCTAAGATACGGTAAACGCTAGGAAACAAATTAAAAGCGTATTTTAAAGGCCATCGTTCAACCGTCATGAATTGTTACATACCAACCTTTAGGGCCCATTGGTGACATTGGGGGGTGGAAGTCTAAATTTAGTTCATTACAATTACGTCAATGACCTTGAGCTCTGCTAGTAAGATGCTGTGGTATGGTAGCGTGTCGGGGAGAAGGGTTATTGTTCTACTAGTTATTAATAAAGTTGAGAATACTAAAGTTTCTATAAAACAAAACATTGAATAATAAAAATACATTTGTATGAAAGTAACAGATAGATTGACAAAATTGTAAAACGATCGTATAATATCTAACAATATCAAATTATTTACAGTATCACGGTTACAACTTTTAAACTACTTTTATTATGACTCAATGTTAACCTCTTTAGGACCTTTCATT